TTTTTTTCTCTCTCTCTCTTTGTATTTAATCTCTAACTCATGAGCATATTTTCTAATCTCTTTGGTAACCAGAGAGCATATACAAGGCTACCCACTGCATCCATCATACGACCCAAACGATGGCGGCTGATCACAATAATTAAATATGCCGCTATTATCATAATTAGTATTGTAATCACCTTCTTTGCCATCTGTCAACTTCAGCTGAATATTCGAGTTTACCTACGTAACTGGATATCCCATGCTGACGATGCATACTATGCACCCTTGGCTGGTTGCTTTGATAAATTACCCAAGGACAGTCCCTATCTGACAGGTCAGAATCACTATGTGAATGACCTATCTCCAGGCATAAGCTTGATGGAAGACTATGATTGCTATGATTTTGCAGCAACAATTCAACCAAAGCCAACAGAATCCAAGGATACAATCATCTACCATGCCTATTGGCGTGCAGATCTTGCTCCTGTAGGACCAAAGCAACTCTCGACCCTTCGTTCCTTTTTCGCAACACAGAACCCAAATAATACAATTGTCTATCTTTGGTCCAATGGCGATCTATCGCAATCACCCGTCGTCAAGGAGATAAAGAAGCATGTGGGTGACCGATTACAGACAAAGATATATAATTCACATGAACTATCCAAGGGAACGCCCATGGAAAACTCTCCTCATTTGGACTTTAAGGATGCCAGTGGTTATCTCGATGGTGACCTCATTCGACTGTTGGTCATCTATCACTATGGTGGTATGTGGTTCGATATGGATTCGCTTTTTATCAGAGACATGAGTCCCCTCTTGGAGCAGGAATGGTTGCTTCAATGGGATTGCTATCTCCCCAATGGATTCCCGTTCAATGGCGCATTCATGCGATTCCATAAAGAGTCACCTTATCTTTGCGAGATGCTGTCCGAGCTGGCATCGGGACCATTACCGAGACCCAATACGATTGATTGGGGAGGATATATGTATTATAGAATTTATAGACGATTGTTGCATCATGGCATCAGACCTTGGTCAGTCCTTCCATGGTGCTTTACTGATTCTATGGTTTGCTCACCAAAGAACTCGATGCCAAATGCATTTATTGAAACTGAATTTTCAAAAGAAAGACTATTGAAGACCTTTGCCTACCACTGGCATAATCAATGGAAGAAAGAACCAGGATCTTTGTTCAGATTTTTGGATGAAATGCACAAGAATACAACTGGATGGTAATGCATATGCCCTGTACGTATATATTATAAACACTATTTCTACTTAATAAATAAATGAAGAACTTTAAACAAGATATAGCGCAGCAGGGTTCAACTATTGTCTAGAGAAATACATAACTGATTATTTATGCCATTTCGTACTATGATTGTAGTTACTGACAATTGGCAACTTTGAATGTGTTTCTCGATAATCTACCTTCTTTTTCGTCATTCATTTCGATAAATGTTTTTAATAAAACAAGGTAAAACATATCCTGATGGCGTCAAATGAAATAAACAAAAACATTGTTGGCATTGCAATGAAAAAAAAAAAAAAAAAAAAAAGAGCATGTTTATTTACTGTGTTTTATATTATACACAAAGAAGGAGGCGGCAGACCAGAGGGCGTTTCCACTTGCGAGATCTTTTTGATTTTTTTTTGCTTTCTGTTATTTAGATGTTAAATCGTATTTTAATACTGAGAGGGTAAATAAGCTACAGTTCCAAAATTGAGACACACCATTGTGCTGGGGAACAATTCTTCGATTTGGATGTCTGGCTGTTTAGGCGAAGTATTATTGTCTGTACATCGTCATCTAAGCCGTCGGTGAATAGTCGTAAGCGTCTAAGTTCCAGGCGACTAGTCTCCAGCTCGGATTCTTCCGTAGCGGATTCACGTTGTTGCTTCCTGGCGCTGGAAGTACGCGGTGCTTCTGAATCATTCATGGTCTAGTCCTGGTCATAGCTTGTAGTGCGGGATACTACATATTGCTGGTCTACTCTGGGGTGATTAGCACGGCCAAACACCGTTCTAGGAGAATCTTTTGCACTACTGGAAGAATGAGATTCCATGGGGAACACAGGTAGACCTTCCCTAAAAAAGACCAAGGGACGGGCATCGTATCTGTGGCTATGGCGTCTGGATGCTACTTCCAACTCGTGAATCTGAGGCAGTTAGTAGTTTTTGCCTGATGCGAAGCAGTCCATTGTCAGAGGGCCCTATGCTTGTTGTAGCTGCTGGAGTAAAGTGGGACACAATCGCCATTCCATTCGACGTGATGCTGAGTCGGCTAGACTCAGACCAAAAGGTATGTAACTGAGCTTGAGGCGGGTACAAATGTCGAAACAATGTCTCCATAGTTGAGCTGATAGTTGCATTAATAGTGTCGAATGTGTCTCGCCTGACGTGTTTGATGTGAGTCATTATAATAACTCGAGTATAATCTTACAGTAGGGCATACATTCTACTTTGCACTTCTCTATCGCATTTGTTAAGAATAGCTCTTCTTAATAAAGAATCTAATTCGCAAGCCATCGACTTAACAGCCTTTTTTCAATAACAACTAAAGGTGAATACAACACCACCAAAGTCCTTCATGTAAACGATTGAGGTGATGTTGTCATAGAATATCTGAAGTACTTTCCCCTGAAGTGCTGAATTGGTGACTACAGAAGCGCATCGACATTTGGTATACGTTTCTTCATGATAAAGTTTTAATTAAACTTGCTTCAGTTGCTCTAATTCGTCATACGGATACAATTGACAACAGTCATTGTTTTGAGAGTAAAGAGACTTATCACTAGATTTTTTATTAAGAAATATTTGTGTTTGATCTGAAGGCTTGAGTGAGTTTGTTGATGCTCCAACACAGATTACAGGATTTTCATCAATAATGCAGCTTGATGTTACCAACAAGTTACAGCTGAAGAAGCCGATTATTAGCTCTATACTGTTGCCCCTATCCATCAGTTGAACACACACACAGTCATAGCTATCATTATGGTCAGGTATAGATGTTTCCTTATCTGCAACTGAATATTGCTCAGCATGCAGGTCATTATACTTTTTCCTACCATATTGTTGTAATCAACAATAGAATTAGCGCATCAAAGGATAAGTCCAACAGTTAAATCCACTAGGATGTTCCCTTAGGTAACATGGTGTTGTTGACAAATGAATTAGGATCATAATCAGCCACAAGCAAGTTCATCAAGCATGTAGACACAAGTTATGACGCAGACTTTCAAATCATTGACTATGAATACCCTTATTCTAAATGCCCTTTTAACAGGAGCTTTATATTATCGAATAAAAGAATTCTAAATGTATTGACCTGTCTTTTTGATAATATAAAACGCATATGAACCTACACAGTTTATAAGCAAAGTTTTTATACCATTCAACAAAATGCAGCCAGCAAAGGGTTGTCACACAGCATATTTAAATTGCGGACTATCTGACCAGACACCCCATAGGCGACTCTTCACTCTATGAAAATTGAAGAAAAAGTCGCTTTCTGGTAATATAGTCAATGAAGCGCAGCATTAGTTATTTAGTGCCTTGGACTTTCTTGTATTCCTTATTATAAGGAATAAGTACAGCTGGCGTCCATTTCGCTGATTTACATTGGCTACAAGGCATGTGACACCCACAATAGATAATAAGCGTTTTTGGTCCTTTTTTTCTTTTTTTTTCCTTACCGTTTTTTTTTTTGAGTTCTGAGGCACAACTTGCAGCCTTATTGAGCGTCAAAGCTTGGTAAGCCAAGGATTCTGTGATAGACAGTGTAGGTATTGTGCCCCTCCATAAGCGCGCCGATATGCAGCTCTTAATCCTACTGGTTCGGAGTTTTTTGGGGTCAGATGTACTTTTTTTCTTGTGGTTGATCCTGTTAATCAAAGCTGTAATGGCTTTGAGAACTAAAAAAAGTACCCCAACTAGCTTATTTAAATCAATAAATAATAATAATAAACGCTTCATTTTACCACACTGAATATATTACTTGTTCATTTGGCTCATTGTCTGAATTTGGTATTCTGCCGTTTGTGTATTTCCTTGAGAGAATAGAGTGAGAGAGAGAGAAAGAGGTCATGGAAAAAATAGTAGCTTCAACAAAAAGAGCAGTTTAAGTAAGGTTCATTCTCTGTTACATAGCTTTCTCTTGGAGTCCTGCTTTAAGCTTATGTACTTGTAAATAATTTGTGTCTATGGCTTTAAGCGTAGTAAATCATTTACCAGGAGATGTTGTGTATCCTCATAGCAATTGTCTTTTATGCAGACAGGTGACTTAGTTAGACTTGCTTCTCGCATTCGTCACTATGTGATATTTTGCCTAAAAAAACGATACATCTAAATTTTTTGGCTAGCTGTCCTAAATAAGCCTTTTACTCTGATGATTTGTGACATAAATCAATTATTAAGGAAAGAAAATTAGCATGATAACGAGCATAAAAATTTGTTCTTGGCGATTTCTAATTCTTCATTGCTCTTGATCTTTCCTCTATCAAGGACACTATCAATAAAGTTGACAGAGAAATTTCTGGCTTGGAAATAAAGAGTCAAAAGACAGCAGGGTTTATAAGAGAAGAATGCAGCCTTCGTAAATGGAAGGAATCTTGCGGTTCATGCAAAGTGGTTTAATAAAACCCCCTCTTCAACAAAAGGCTACTTCTAGCAGCCTTTATTGGTGCAATACTGCATTCGGTATTGTTAATGTAGGTTCGCGTGGATAAATAAGGGCTTTGAATGTTATTCTTAGAATCGACCAATGTGATTGTTTTGGCGGGTTCTTCTTATCCTGACGAAAAACAAGAAAAAAGTTATTGAACACAAGAATCCAAAAGGTAATTCATCAAAGTAAAAGAGAACTATTTATTATCTACATAAAATGTTTTTTATAACGACTAGAGTCAATTTCACCATGACATGAGACAGGTAAAAGCGTTTTTAATGTATTTCTATAAAATAGTGTAAATAAAGAAAGTAAACAAAGCGTTGCGTAACTTACTTTAACTCGGGTATCTTATCTTCCGTCACAGATTCGTCTAGCCACAGCTCGATTCGATCACCACGGTACCGTTTGGAGACAGCGACGCCGACGGTACCAAGCATGATCAATCCAGCGCCGACGAGTGCAAAGAGAATCGATTCAAATACCTCGTCCAGCAGCTTAAGATTGACCTGGACGTTCAATCGACCACCCTTTTTATTGATTGGATCTTCCCACATAGGCTTGACGCCTTGCACAAAGCAGAATATGTTTTGGTTGGGTGCTAATTGGGATGGTTTCTTTTGACATGTTTCCTTATAAAGACGCCAGCGACAAACAAAGTTCCAAACCGTGTCACAATCAAATAAGGGCTTAACAGATTCAAGATAACTATCTGCTTGTTTACTACTATTGTCTGTAAAGTAAAACGTGCAGGGTACAGCTAGCGGTAAGGCCGAATCAAACGGGATGTGCATTTCGTTCAATTGGGATACAGCATGCTCATATCGAGTTGGATTCTCTTTTACCTTGATGGGATCTGCCCATACAGGAATATCTACATCGTCTTTTTTTATTTTTCATCGTCAATATATGTGGCTCAATTGAAATATATTATATGTATATATACCATGATTACTATGCTCGATTATACTCTTTTTGACATGCTCACATGGTTTTTCCGACTCTACAGACGAAACACTCGATGCTAGCGTACTTTGAGTACTCTCGGAACTAAATCTTCGGACCAATTCCGTAGATGAATCTTCAGATTGAAAAGAAGTGCGCCGACTATCAATGATAGGTTGTTGTTGTTGTTGATTATGTCGAGATGGTAAGTCATGTTCAGGATATGAGTGTCTTCTCGGGACAATCATGGGTACATGATTTGGCGTGTGCGTTAAACTAACCTGTCTTTTCATTTGAACAGGTGACGGCATTGTCCGTGTCCAACAGCCTTCGAGAGTGGATATAAACAGCACATTATCGAGGGCAACATCAAATGGTATCTTTGATATCGAAAGTGGCTGTTGTATGTCTTTGATTGGAGTCTTTTTACTCTTTAATTTATAATGATGATGATGATGATGTGGAGAGGGTAAATGAACTAGTAGAGTATTCGATGTATTGATAAAGATATGTTGCTCACTCATGAATTGTTGAAGTATATCTTGATGATGTAGATTCTTCTTTCGGTTGGCTGTATAGCGATAAATAGTAAATAACGTCTGTTGCATGACTTGTTTTAAAAAGAAAGGGAAAAACAAAAAAAAAAGAAATGATTCAACACACAGACATATTTCTAAAAAATAAGGTACAAATAAAAAGAATGGGGTGTTATTTTTTTTTTGTAAACTTGGAGTAGCCAAATATGGACTCGCTACTTGGGTCATGTGTTCAATGCAAGGTGTGTCCCTGCTGAATGTAGTCATAACAAACAAGATTATTTCCCTTTCCTCCTTGATCTAGAAGTAATGAAAAAATAGCTTGGATTCATATGAGAAATAAATATCTGTTTTTTCTTTTCTTTATTTTTTTAAACCTTTCAACAGCATCATGTTACTACAAGAAAAAAGTGGTGTGCCTTTAGCTGAATGTCAATGATTGAATATTGTGGTGTCACAATTTCCTTTTACGTCTCCTGCAGAACAAGTGCACAAAGGATCCGTGTGTTAACATAATGAACTCAGTGCCCTAGTTTATACTTTTTATAAAGTGCTTTCAACGAACAAAGTCGTAGCGAATTAAAATCGATTGGATCCTGAATCACTAGTGAGCCGTAACTGTATTAAAACCCTTATTACCATGAATATCCCCAAGTCGATTGGACTGAACCCTACTGACTTCTCGAAACTTCTGTCGTCTACATTAATTTCTTAAAAATGACTCTCAATGAAATGGATAAACATCCACGTATGAGATTTCATTATATAGTCATGGATGACGCACCGATTCACACGCATGAAAACATGAAGAAATATATTAAGTATCGAGGCTATACATGTATGTATCCTCTCACTTACTCTCCTGAACTTGATCCGATTGGACAGTTTTGGGCAGTAGCAAAGAGTAAGATGAAGCACCACAGATTTTTGCAGAAAGACACTTTATTAAAAAGAATCACGGTAGCTTGCAAAGATATGGAGAAAATTCACTTCAAAAGGTTCGTTTCGCATTCTTACAAGTATTGGGATAAATGTCAAAATAGGGAATCCATGTAATAGACACTGACGGTATCAGAAGCCACTAGTACGATGATAATATTGAATGAGATAAATAGCATTATTTTACAAATTATTCGAAAAAAAAAAAAATCGAACACTTTAAATTTTGACCAACGTTACATGCACCAGAAAACAGGCTAATGCTACGGGCGCTTCCTTGGGGCGCTATCTATGTTGTCACTAAACAATTTCACACTATCAAAGTGTCTATCTAAGCTAAGGCTGCCAAGTTCATTCTCTTTGATATAAAATACGAATTTATCATAATTACACGTGCTCTTGCATCTTTCTTGATCAACTGACAACATAAAACTAAAATAAATCAAGAAATAAAGACATTTCTTTCTTATCTCTTTCTTCCTCCTGGAAAGAAACACAAACCAAGTTGGTTGAAAAGCTTTGTTGGACGGCATCATAGGTAATGTGTTGAGACAGTGTCCGCAGAAGTAGTCTAACTTCTGGTGCATTTTCTGGTGCACGTAGTGTTTCCCTTTCAAAAGCTTATCGTATATTTAAAGCAGAACCCTATTAAAAAAGAGTTATTGAAAGAGATAAGCATTACAATTGAATCCTACAAAATTGAAGGAGAAACCCAAAATGAAAATAGAAAAGCAAGCGAATACAGGGCGCTTTCTAGAGCAAACATGAAATCGGCCATAGCAAAAGAAACAAGTTTGATTCTTACAGAAGACGCATGTCCTGTTTCAGTTAGTGATAGTACTGTCACTTTTGACTTCAGCTTAAACTTTGTAAGTAGCTTACTCTTTGGTGTTTATTAAAAAAAGTGATTTACGTTACTAAATTAGTCTTCTTAGATGCAAGAACGTGTCGACTTCAAGTTTGAGAATGACAGCGGTTCTGATTTCATAGCAACCATTTTCAAAAAAAGAGCTGCTGCCATTCACAAAAGCAAGTATAAATTCGACGACCAAATATCTCCAGAAAACCTTCATTCCATGACATGTGGTCTGTCATCCGTTCTGAACTTGAGTTGTGAATCCCAAAAGAGCCTTTATAAGCCTATTTAGTGGCAAAAACTTCAAGGCTTCTCTTCTGAAAGATACAAAGCCAAAGTTCTTGAAAGCATCAATGATTTGCATTTAACGTGGAACTTGATCTGTGCGTTCTGTGAAGATGACAACAACATTTATCGAGGAATGAATTATTTAACAACAATAATAACAACGGTGATCGACACTAATCCCTGCCAATACAAAAAGTGTTTGCTTTTTGAACATGTACTTCAAGTTGTACGAGATGAATCTCGGTTGCTTTCATTTCTATACCAAGCTGATCATGATAAGCTCTCAAAAATTAGCGAACAGGATATTATCACCTTTATTTAGGCACCGATTTTCAAAAAATTCTAAACTTGGAGCAGATCATTCACTTGAAGACTGGTGAAACTGTTACTAAGCTTTCAACGATGCCGAAACAAGAGCTATACCACGACAATGCAAATGTTGCAGGTTTCAAAATTGATTTGAGAACTGTTACAAATATTAACGAAGATGAAACTGATTTTGCTGTTTGTGAGGTTGCGAAAGACCAAAACAAAGCAAAGCTGTATCACAACATTTCAAAGCTTGTTCGTGAAGCCAAAAATGTCCTTCACTATCTTTATGTTTTAACCGGTCGTAAGAGAATGACTCTTTAAATTCTTGGGCCATTCAAATATCTGGTCTCAATTGCCAGCTTCCTACAGCGCACCATGCGCGCAATAGATTATATGTGGCTGTGTCTCAAGACTATGTTGACGAAACGAAGACTAAGGATGTGGTGGCTCTCCTCTCATGGTACAGAAGACTCTTTTGAAGCCCATTCCTGCCACCACATCCTTAGTCTTCGTTTCGTCAACATAGCCATTATAAGCAACCCAGATCGGAATGTGTACGCCACATTGTAGCTATCGCTAAGAGCACCAGAGTCTTTCTTTGGGGTAAAGTGAGCTAGCCTCCCTCAAACGAACAAATAGAAAATGGACAGTTCTGATAAATGATCACAGAAAAGAAATAAGATGGTATAAAGGATGCCCACTGTTGTATTTGGATTTGGATAGGTTTAAACAAAGTAGAAAATACGATGAGACTGTGTTGTATCTTTATTCAGAATAAAGTGAAAAGAAAAGAGATGATAGCACAATCTATAATTATATATTAAGAAGCTGAGGTATTTAAACTGAGTTGGCTATATTTGATTAAGGTGTAACAGCTCTTATAGCAGCATTAGGTTCAACTCTAGATATTGTATTTAAGCACTGAATAGTAGCGTGGATACTACACCCACAATTTGGTGCTATCCAAATTAATGGAAAACATTTACTGTATAAAAAAAAGCAATAAGGGATATAACGAATAAAAAAATCCAACAAGGTATATAAACAATAAAAAACGACTAAACGCTTTTTTCAACTTTTGCTTTCTTGACTCGGCTGCTTGTTGGAGTAAAGAAAATGACATGATGGAGGCTGGGTTGAGGAGTAACAGTAGAGACATCAAATACTTCTCGAAGTCGATCCACGTGTTGGCATTTGTTCAGAGAATGTTCTGCCACTATACCTGTTCGCAAAATGAAATGCTAGAGTATTTCAATCAATGATTCCTGTGCCAGTTGCCTCCTCTCTCTCTCTTTTTTTGGGGGTACCTTTTAGGCAAAGAGAAGTCGCAGGGTATTCTTGAATTGAGCCATGCCACTTACAGAGGTAGGGATATTTAAGATATCAATACTATTTGCAACATATATACCATGATGTTCAACCAAACAGTACAGATAACCGGTCTATGTCACGTATGAAAAGAAGAGTAATTAACTAATCGTTTGCGAGTCGCGATTAATAAGGCTGACCAATCTAGTCCATGGCGACCATGGCGACCATGGCGCCGATCTTTTTGTTGAGGTCATGAAGATGGTTGAGGATGGCGCCATTGACATGTAAATTTTTGTTTTGTTGGATGATGGCTTGGGAAGTCGTGGCAGAGGGTTATTTAAATTCGTTGCTTGACAGTTCCAAGGACTTGATATCCTTGCCATAGCGAATCAAAAGGCCAACCTTACGCCCAAAAAGTTGATGATCAGCTGAGCGTGAGTCAAAAACAATATCATTGTATTATCGTTCATTTTGAGTGCAGTCATAAGTAGTTTCGCCACTAACAAAAATCAAGGCAAACACTTGGTGCACTCAAAAATGCACTCAAAAATAAACCAATACCACAGGCGCTGCCTCTATCCACTACCTATGATGTCGTCAGCAAAACTATTCAATGTGTAGTGTCAAACTAAACATGAATTTATGAAGTTACCATATTGAATTGTCTCTTTTCAAGAAGAAAGAAATCAAAAATAAATGCTGTTATTTTTAATTTTATGCTGTCAGTCTATTAACAAAGAACCAAGATCAATCACGTGTAATTATGTAAATTCGTGTTTTATATCAGAGAAAGTGAACTGGGTAGCCTTAGGTTAGGTAGACACTTTGGTAGTGTGAAGGTATATAGTGACAGCATAGGTGACGCCCCAAGGAAGCGCCCGTAGCACTAGCTTAAGTGCATTTTTGAGTGCACCAAGTGTCTGCCTTAGTGAGAGTTGCCCTTTATTGTGACATTTATCCCAGCATTTGTGAGAATGCTAAACAAAACCTTTAAAATCATTCAGCTTTAAGCTACAAGGTACTTTACTGATTCTCGTCATCAATATCTCCTTTTTCAAGAACCAACTACGTTTCACTTTACTCTTAACAACTGATCAGAATTGTTCAATTGGATTGAATTCGGGAGAATATAGAGGTAAATAAGTATAGCAATAACCTCGAGATTCAATGTACTTGCCTATGCCCTCTCGCGTATGGATAGAGGCATTATCTATTGCCAAATAATGTCTCTTAATGTATAGATATTGGTCCATTTCATCCATTGTTGCCCTTAGAAAGCTTATATATTGTCCTGTTACCGCCCTCTTGCTTGTACTCTTAATACCTTCTCCTCGCTCTCTCTTTCTTGACGGTGGCTGTGGAGGTCTTGGGCTATGTTTGATTAAACCTGTAGCTGATATCGCGCCCAAGATGGTATTTGTCTGTGCTCGAGTTTTTGGCACCGTAACTATGGCAGATGTGCCTTTTTGCGGCCAGGCTATACTACGTTTCATGCTAATATGAAACGCAGACTCATCAAGGAAGATGCAGTTTGTCGTAAAGCCCATGTCCGTTTTCTCCCACTTATGGACCCAGCCCAAACGTTCTTGTATCTTTTTCTCATTGCTCCTATCGATAGGCTGAAAACATGCCTCCTTAAGCGTCAGGCTGTACTCCTTTCTCACAAAATATAAAGAGTATTTTTGGATACTTTCAGATCTTGAAATGTTTGACGCAGACGGTCCATTACCTGTTCCAAGACGGACTATGGGTTTTCATCAATACACTTTAGAATGACTCTCTTATGTTCATCCTTGAGAACACGTGGACGACCTGCTTTTCTAGATTTCTCAAAGCTGCTATCAGGATCTCTTTCGTAATCTTTGGTCCATCTTTGTGCAGTACGAATATGGACTCCCAACCGCTTTGCGGTCACAGAAGGATTCAAACACTTGTTTAAATTTTGACACTTTTTTGTGTAAAGACATATGTCTTTTATGATTGCTTCAACTGTATATGGTGCCTGAATAGAACGGCCATAAGATGATGCATCAATCCAATAACCTCGCGCCAATACTGATTGCTTACTTGAAGCTATTGACACCCTTTCCTCCAGTTGAAAACCTTGGCTTGTCAGTGACTTTTGTCTACGAGGTTCTAATGAGTTACTCTAATAGACCTTAAGCTCATCTATTCTCAAAAAAAAAAAAAAAGCTTGAAAATTAATAGAGTATATTGCTCTGAGCCTTCTTTACGATTTTATATCGTCTTGTAGAGTGTTTATAAAATAAATCCCATTGCCCCCTTTTTATCGACAAATAACATTATTTTTTTTTATTTTATTTTATAAAGCTATTTTGAGCGGAACCGTAAAGGTGTGCGTCTTAATCCACTTGCATAGAATCTTGGTGAAGTATATCGTCTTGAGTTATTTAAGATATCTAACTTCTTTAATCTTATGGTCTCTTTCTGCTCTATGTTTGCGTCTTCTTTATGCAGTTTACTCTCTATCGTAGTTAAAAAGTCTAATATATCTGAACTCTCTGGCATACGAAATATCGGCAGCTGTGAGGTAGGAGCAATATCTTCGGTTTGAAGTGGTTGTGTAAACTCCAAGTCTAAATCATCCATATATTCAAGGTCAGTTTGAATCGACACTTCTGTGAACTGTGATGATGGCTGTAAGGGCTGATGTGTAATGATATTATTACCACTTCCTGGTGGTAACGGTTCAACAAATGGTTCTAACGTAGACATATATTGTGCAAGCAATTCATCTACTACAAATAGATATACTATTAGTACTTTTCCCCTTCCTTTTTTGTGTGTGTATCAATTTACATTCTGCTTGCTGCTCTTCTTCAAGTGGTCTACTTGAGAAGAAAGGTTTGGTATTTTCATTTGATAATCCCAAAAGGGGTCTGTGAAGTGCAAAAAAGGCATTATGTGCAAGTTCTTTTTCTGGAATATTGATCACAGGTACAAATGATAGAGGCTTTTTCTTGTTATTATTATTGTTGTTGTTGTTGCTATTTGTGCTTGATTTCTCTTGTCCTTTATTTCTTAATTTCACTTCTTTGGCATCATTGTCACAAGAAGATGAACCAAACCGTGATGTGATATATCTTGTCGTGTTTGATTTGTTTAATTGACGAACTAAACGATGTCTACACAGGAACATTATGTTTCAATAAGAAAAAGGACTCAATTACTGCTTTTTGTCCCCCCCTCCATTAGAACTTCCCTAAATATTTGCCTTTTGATCCATGATTGGTCAGCTGAGCTATATCATACTTGCCTTTTTAAGTAAAATGACTGGCTTATTGAAGCTGACAAATGAATTAGAGTCAAAATGCATTAATACCTTTAGCTGTTACGGGTGAAATAGGGACTTTACTTTGGTTTTATGAACTATAGCTTTTATATCAAGCAAAGCAAAAAAAAAAAGGATAAAAGATAAGCTAATGAATATGGACTATCTTGACGTCATTCTGCATAGATTACATTTTATTGCTGAATTAATGTGTACAAGCAGATTAAATATTCATATGTTCTCCTTTTTACTAGTAAAATGACGACATAAGCAATCAAAAGGAAAAGAATCGCATTAGTCTACAGAGATTGAATAAGCTGTTATTATGATACTACAAAAAAAGAAAAGAAAAAGGAAGTTAATGCCTGTGTACATCCAGGGCACAAAAGGTTCGTTAATTTACACAGACAGATGCTATGAGTGCCAGCTTGCTTAAAACAGAAGAAATGCTATATGTAGATCATATATATCGCAAATAGGCATCATTTTTAATTTGCATATTTCATTAAAAAGAGAGATTCCAGCCATCTGCTTGCATCTTTTCTAAAAATATGGAATTGATCCCACTCGAGCTTGGTGGAGAGTCCGCTTCATTTGACCAAGACTGTAAGCATTAGGATATATTGCAAGCAATACAGGTGTTTTCTATACTATTATCGCTCTATCGCAAATGAAAGAAAGCGACGTTACTGAAATGCGACATTGCTTTTGTTAAACATCCTTATGCATATCAGAGCCTTGAGAAAACAATGTAATTTAGCATTGATTTACTTTGTTTAGAAGGGTGTATGCTAGTTTATATAGGAAATGAAAAAATAGAACCAAACGACACTTTTCAAATGTAGGTAAAAAAGCCAGCGGTCAACTAAAGGGTTTTCTTAATGAAAACTTTCTTTTTGAATTATTGTCACTATGTAATTACTTTTTAATTACTTACAAGATGAGCATTTTTTAAATATGCCGTTATGGTGCATCTTGATAACAAAAAAGAAGTAATGCGTCAAAAGAGATGATGCATTAAGCAATAAAAAATGTATATAAGAAAAGAAATGAGTTCATCAATTGCTGGAAGAAGAAAAGATCTTCAGTATCAACATTTTTGACGTCAATCCTATGTATATAAAAGAATTGATGTTCACATTCAAAACAAAAGAGCCTTTTGACCATTACATTTGTATGTGCTATTGAGACGCGTTAGCCAATAGAATAACGCTGTGGTTGTTATCGAAACGTATTAGCCAATAGAAAATCATTAATTGAATGGTCTTTTTTTCTACACTTGTGTGATTAACCACTTTGCCCGTTATCTGTGAACAGAGAAATGCTCTCTAAGTGTGGCTACTCAAATAAATGCTTATGATGTTACTAGGCGGTATCGAACTAAAAGCTATTTTGGGTAGTTTGCTGAGTCAAGACCATCTTCTGAGCTTGCGGGACGACTGGTAGACGAGGTTGAGGTCAATCGATAGCTACCTGTTGGCAGTCTGTCAATCCAGACTTATCTGGGACTGTTCAACTTGTACTTTCTAGGTTTTTCAGATGTATAAGTTCAGCCTTGATACATCACTCCTTTTTATAAGATATATACACCATTGACATTCAGTGTATACCTTTCTTTCTTTGGGATCATATGTACTCTTACCTTCCCGTGGCCAATCCTGTTAATCAAGACTATTATTGTCTTGAGAACTAAAAGGAGTATGCCTTTATTATAAATAAATGTAAATAAAAAAAAAAAAGAAAGTTGGTTAATAAATGACGCGTATTTATGTATATGTGCGTGTGTGTGATGATTTGACAATGACACCAATCATGCACATCATTAAGAATAGTCTCATCTTTACAGTAGTAAGGATATATGTGCTTTTTTTTTCATTGAGTGTGTTTTTGGCAATGTGTTGTGTCAAATCATAAAATGGCAAGTTCCACACACATGTATACACAAATGAGCAGGGAACTTGATGGGAATCGCGCATGGCATGTTTAGTAGTGTGACTATGGCCCTTAGTACCAAGACAAAAGATAGCCACAAGCCACCTATGAGAGAGGTTATTGAAAGTATAGACAGCAAGACATTGACTATAGCAGCCTCAGCATATCTTATCAGCCCAATCTCCCATGTTGTAAACCTCAAGTGTTAGTCACCCTTCCTCAAAGGAACCAATGGATATAGAATGATTCATATAAAGGAAACTAGTGAACCGGTCTCTAAAGTATAAACGAATCAATTTCAACGATCTGATCGAAAATTTTATTTTGTAGTCATAAAGGATGACTACTTTTTCTGAAAGCCTATTTAATGACCCGAAGGGTCCCGGACTTATGTTCATGTTGGTTTTCTTCATTTAAAAATTCATCATGTTGGAAAAGGGTCAACTTACTGTCGTTCTTGGTGCTCAATGGGGTGACGAAGGTAAAGGCAAATTGTCTGATATTCTTTGTGGTGAAGCAGATCTTTGCTGTCGTTGTGCTGTAAGTTATATCTTTCTTATCTCTATTCGAGAAAATGCTTATATGTCATTTTAGGGCGGTAACAATGCAGGTCATACTATCGTTGTTAATGATGTCAAGTATGATTTTCATATGCTTCCTTCAGGTAAGAAAGACGAAAAGGTTTTTCATTTCATATTTGCAAATCTTTTGACACTTTTAATTTAGGTTTAATCAACCCCAACTGTATTGCCTTGATTGGTAACGGTGTTGTTGTCCATTTGCCTTCCTTCTTTGAAGAAAAGGCCAAGCTCGAAGCAAAAGGTTAAAAGGAGGAAAAGAAGAAAAAATGACAAGAAAAAAAATTAAAGCTTTTTTTTTTCTCTTTGTGTCCAGGACTCAACTGTGAAGGTCGCCTTCTTCTCTCCGACCGTGCTCATCTCGTTTTCGATCTCCACCAAAAGATTGATGGTCTCAAGGAAGTCGAATTAGGCCGTGGCAGTATTGGCACTACCGGTAAAGGTATTGGTCCCACCTATTCTTCTAAGGCTTCTCGCTCTGGCATTCGTGTTCACCACTTGTTCCAGTTTGAAGAATTTTCTGCTCGTTTCAGAAGCATGGTTGAAAACAAGCGTAAACGTTATGGTAACTTTGAATACGATGTTGAAGCCGAATTAGAAAGATATAAGGAGTTGGCTGAACGTGTGAGGCCATACGTGATTGATACCGTTCCTTATCTTCATGAACAAATCAAAGCTGGTAAGCGCGTTTTGGTAGAAGGCGCCAACGCTTTGATGCTTGATATCGATTTTGGTACCTACCCCTATGTCACATCTTCAAGCACAGCTATTGGTGGTGTTTGTACCGGTCTTGGTGTCCCTCCTTCTAAGGTGTCTAAAATCGTTGGTGTCGTCAAGGCTTACTGTACAAGAGTAGGCGGTGGTCCTTTCCCTACGGAACAATTGAATGTAAGAGATAGTCTTGTGCATACTCGGATAAACTTACCCTTTTATAGGAAATTGGTGAACACCTTCAAACTGTTGGTTTTGAATTCGGCGTCACCACCGGTCGTAAGCGTCGTTGCGGTTGGTTGGATCTTGTCGTTGTTAAATATTCCACCATGATCAACGGATATACTAGCTTCAACTTGACAAAATTGGATATTCTTGATCAGTTACCTACTATCAAGGTAGCCGTTGCATACCATTTGGATGGCAAGAAGTTGGAATCATTCCCTGCTGACCTTAGCTTACTTGAAAAAGTCGAAGTTGAGTATGTCGAACTTCCTGGTTGGATGACTGACATCTCCAAGTGTACCAAATATGAAGAACTCCCAGAAAATGCAAAGAAATATATTGCTTTCATTGAAAAAGAAACAGGTGTACCAGGTAAGGGAATACTGTCAATTACAAGGCCTTGTAAGCTAATTGAAATATATAGTTGAATGGATCGGTGTTGGTGCTGGTAGAGATGATATGATTCACAAGTCTGCTTAATAAACTTATAAAATGTAGTAATAAACTGTATACTATTATCTTGTTAAAACCTTGTCATAACCATAAGTGACATTCTAACCAAGGCTCACCCTTGACATTCACCATTAATTTGATTGTTCTTTCTGTCCCCTCGGTCCTTCTCCTATCTGACAATAAAGAAATGAAGATCATTTCAGAGTAAAAAGCTACGACATGACCATTGGCTACACAACATCATGTGTACATACAAGCTTCTATTTAGACTTTTGGGCAATTACTCCAAGAAGGTTTGTCAGGTAGATGAACCAAATAAAAAAATGGTCTTATTTCAGAGAGGATTACTGTACATGTTTACTTGAGTCTTGTATCTTTAAGATAAACAAAAAAAGACAGTTAATGAAGCAGCTTAAGGAGATAGAGCTGGTTAGGAGATTAGAGTCACTGCTAACCTGACTGATGCGTGTAAATGAGTAATGTCCCATAACGTGCTTCTTTTTCTAAAATAACAAATCTTTTATTACAGGCTTAACCTAATCTTGTCTCACCTGCAAGGAGGGAAAAAAAATGTAGTAAAAAAATACACGCAGTAATGAGAATAAGCGATTTTCAGTATCACTTGTTACATTTTAGTGCATAAAGTTGTTTAGTTGAAATGTAGTCAAAAAAATATATATTTATATTACAGAGTAATTATGGATAGCGCTTTGTTAGTATGATTCTAAGTGATTCAGGGCCTAAAAGCCCAATACCGCCTCCGACTGCATTTTTTAGACCATGCTCATGTTCGCTATTTGGTACCAATTTCCAAGTATATTTCTTCAAAAACATAGCCATGAGTACTCTTTGTTCGTACATGCTAAAGTTGAGGCCAATACAGGTACGAGGACCATAACCAAAGGGCATCCATGTCGCTTTCTCTCTATAGCCTGGGCTACCTGTGTTAAATCTATCTGGGTTGAATACTTCTGGTAGATCCCAATATTTATCCAAGTGATGTGCACTATATAGTTCCTACATCCAATGTATATTAGCGCATTATTTTATATATGCGTATGCTGTTGACTTACTAAATTAATCATGGTGCCTTTGGGAATAAATATGTTGCCAATGTGTGTGTCTCTGCTTGCAACTCTTGGTAAATTGCCTGATGTAGGGGGATTGATTCTCATGGTCTCTTTTATACAGTTATTCAAATAGTCCATCTGCTTTAATTCTTTGTCTGTTGGTATAATATCTTCAGGATCATCACCTAGTACAGATAACACTTCCTTTCTTGCCTTTTCTTGAATATTAGGATGCGTTGCCAGATAATACAAGAATGACGAGGTTGCACTAGCCGTTGTTTCATGACCTAATTGAAAAGAATGTTAGTGTGAACCATTCTGAACAATGTATGTTCCTTGCCTGCAACAAAAAAGACAGCAATATTGGAAACCAATTCACCATCGGTCAAGTACTCTTTACCTGTCTTATCGTGGTTTGTAGCCATGATCATCAGTGACAATAAATCAGGGTTGCTTTTTGTAGACGGAGACTCCTTCTTTTTTTTAATGATATCCTGAAGGAGCTGACGAAGATTCTCGTTGGCTTTGCGTGCACGATTACGATAAGGGATCAACCTTGAAGGCAAGTAAGTGTATGCAGGAAAAAGATAAACAAATGGATCTCTAACGATACTAAATGCTTCTTTATACTGAATTGCGTAGCAAGAGTTTGGATCAGAAACTGTTTGCATATCGAAATCCTAGCAAACAGTGTGTCAGTTTACTCATGTTAATGTATCTTTTTGTTTATTTACAAAAATACCCAATCCAAGACAATCGAGCGTATATCTAAGAAAAAAGAAGTTTATATTTATAGTAACAACTGAGCGTGTCAGATATACCTCTTCATATAACTAACAGCGTCAATTACACCATCTGGGTGATGCTTATCTATAGATTCAAACATCCTTAGTACAACCTGTGCAAATGTTTCGACAGGCATGGCTCGATGGAATGCGGGGTTGGCCACACTTCTTTGTCTCTTCCAAACTGCGACGCTAGCATTGCCCATGTTTGGCTCATTATTAGTTAATATCAAATCCTAACAATGAAATATAGTATCGTTAGTATAAATGCATTCTCTTTTTCATCTGTCAGTGTACTTACAGGATCCATAGTAACTTGTAACTTGGGAAACATCTCAATGTCTTTTAAAAGCATTTGAAGATACACAGGATCAGCTACAGTAAGCGCCCAAGTACCCATAACATATTTTAGACAAAGACCATGTTTATTCATAAGTGGAAGCATAAGTCTTCTAGTGCGCACATCATGGCTTTCTCCAATTACAACACTCCAAAACCATTGTAGAGTGTTTACTTTGGGTATATGACGCAGGTGCTTAGGAACAATGATGGCTTGCACTAACTTTCGTACAAGGACAGAGCCAATGAAAGCAGATAGAGTGAGGGCATAGAGCTGACGCTTAAACAAGCCTTTTATCAAGACAGACATGATAAAAAAAAAAAGAAAACTAAAGGGAGAAAAAGAATGTTCTTTTATATATAATGCTTGTAATAATTATTATTTATGTAGTGTGGTCTTCGTCTACCAAATATGGTCAATGTCCGATGGTTATGCAAGAGTTATTATTATTCAACTGATTGAGTTCTTGGTTCCAATTCTAAGCTGCGTTCATATAAAAAGTCAACGTCTTTACTATGATCTAAATGATGTTTAATGAAATCTTGAATCTCGGGTACATATTGAAAGATGTATGGTGGTGATTGAAATTGCTTAATCTCACGAATGACTTCTGCTGATTTTTGTTGTTTAGCAAAATTAATAAGATTGCTCGACTTCTTTAGATAATCTGGATTGCCATCTTCAATAAAGGTCAAGTCTTGTAAGTAGATACCCAAGAATGGAATGCAGGGTGGATTGACTGAGTGTATCATTTCTCTATATTCTTGGAAGTTACGATTGGAACCCATCACCTTACGAATTGCATTTAAGGATTGTGTTGTACGACTGCTGACCTGTTCCCAGGTCTTTTTTAAGCGACCAATTGCGCTATTATCAAATGCAGAAAGGATAGCCATACAAGTATTATAGTTTTGCAGTTCCATGCAGCGCTAATATAAAAGGGTGTTACTTTGCATCTTAAAGATAGGAGTAACCGATACTTACGTTAGCAACCTGTGCCCAGTATTTTATAACAACAACACGTTTTTTGGCTTCTTTGTAATTTAAAATGCTTCCAGTAACCCATGCAGTCAATTTGTTACAGTAATCAATAGACTGCTTTACATTAGCAGCAGTATCATCGTCTCTCGACCAAGCCTTGCCTAGACACTCAATAGGTCGAATAGAACTATACAACTTGAAGTCCATGATGGTCAGCTGTCTGGCAAGTTCCAGTGGGTCCGTGTCTAATAAACGAATATGGTTCAAATTTTTTGGCACGATGGGCATAGGGCCATTGGTGTTATTGGGTATCAGCTTCTTTAATACGCCATCTTGTTCTCTTCTCTTGCGGATCAACCGATTTAATTGTTCAGCAGAGAATGAGGATGAATCACAAATGACAGTGTTTGCAAAGACGTGCAGCTTATTGAGAATGAATTCATCCTCTTCGTTATAATAATTCTCTAGCCAGTTTTTCATGACGTTAAACACTCTATAAAGATATTTAGTTGCCATAGAAACAAGTAATAGCATGTTTATATTACCGAAGTCGCACTAGCTTCTGTTTTTTATCTGTCCAGATTTCTAATTCATCAGGCGTCAGTTCTTCAGGAGGAGCCAAGTTGTATCGCTCCTGTAACAACTCAACAAACTCTTCTGTTGTGCAAAATGATCTATATGTCAGCAAGAAATTGGCAATAAAACTCATGTCTTCCATAACCCATTAGTTATCATTCAAGCATAAAGTACTCTGTTGAGCTTACCGATTTCATCATGAAGTGTAAGACGTTCCACAAGCGCGCGAATAGTTCCACCTTTCACACTCTTGTCTGCGCTAAACACAATATCACCTTCTGCATAATCGTACTGGAGAAACCAAAGCTGTGACATTTCATCATGTGTATTGCCATGGCCAAAGCTGAATTGTCGCTTGAGCGCTTTGCTGTTTGCCATCGATTGAGATCCTGGTGAAGGTCGAGTAAGACTACTGGTCGATTGACTGATGGATGGTCGATGTGAGCTGACAGTTCCTTGAGAGTTTTGTCTGTTATAAAAGCGTGTGATGATGGGTGTAGTTGCCTCAGAGCTTTCGTCATCTGTGGTTAAGCTGCCCCTGGAGGGTCTCTGCTTCCTATCGATATCAAAGTAACTGCTGACGGGTGAATTGGGTTCCGCAGGCACAATGGCTCCAGCGTGTTCCCCGTTTCTCATCATCCATATCTTTCGCTCACCCACCATTTGTACCACATTTGAAAAGATTTCTTCTATGGCATTCTCAACCATACCGACGGTTTCTTCTATACGGTTGATGCTTGTCATCAAATCCAGTTGTGAATTAGTCAATGTTTGAACGGCGCTAAACAATAGGCCAACCGAGTTATAAAGTCTTTGCTTATTATTTCGGAAACTAGGAAGAGACTGAAGCTGTGAGGGGTCGATATGACTGATATCGATGTCGTTCAAGATGGCTAGATAATTGCCGATTTGAGAAGATAGATTCTGGAATAGTAAAATGACGTTGGATTTTGCTCTTTCTTCCAAGATATATCGTTTCTCATCGGTTATTTCTTCCTCATCTGACTCTTCCTTTTTTTCCATATCTACTTGCTCGTTTTCTTTTTTTATTTGATATTGGTTCACTTGATAAATATAAGAAGATGCTTTACACAAAGCATCTGTTGAACCAACAATTTGCTTGGCGTGAGTCTGTAAACTGACAATCAAGTCTTGATTCAGAGGATACTTGGCCTTTGTTATCGCTGGCGAATTATTACTCTTTCTTTTCCCTTCCTCCTCTGTGTCTTCCAAGTATTCTTGTTGTGTACCATTGTTACTGATGTTATTATCAGCAGTGTTAAAGAGTAGGCGTGGATTCACGGGACGAATCGGGACATTCTTGTTTTGACACACGAGGACAAATTTTCGCACAGCATTCAACACATCCGCTGCATCTCTTTGTACTTTGCCATTATTATGGTTCATATTGGACTCATTGAGCGCCTTGGCTGATAGAATAAGTTTGGCCAAACTGGCTAATACATTGCGATGGGGTTCCTTCACTTCTGCATCTTGTAGATGAGGCGCATCCTTGTCCATGGATCGCGAGGAATAAAGCATAAGCCTGACGGCATCAACAACAGATGTGATCTTTTGCTTAAATGTCACAGGGTTGTCACCTGCTACGATGGCCTTATGGAGCGATTGTACTGACTGTGCGATGTCTATTGCTATACTCTTCCAGCTGATTGGCTTCCCTTCAGCATCTCCTTCCTCTTCTTCCTTTTCTAGATCCTCCCCAATCATGGTAAGAGAAGGATCTACTCTTTTTGATTGTTGTTCTATACTTCTTTTGCTTTGCTTCTGTACAAGTAAAACGAGAGTGTTAATGACTGAATACAATAAAATAAAACTACATTTACCAAACGTCCTGTTGCTTGATCAATATCGCCATAATCCCACGTTGTTTCTTGTGTGATAGAGTTTGCATAATATACTTTTCCTTGGGGTGTTGTTCGTTTAGTCCAGTAAGACAACAACTATAATAAGAAAGTTTTAGTACATATAGCAGTGAACGAATATGGTTAAGCTTTACATTGGTATGATTCGTGGGCAATTTATACTGTTGTTGTTGTTGTTGTGGTTGCTGTTGCTGTTGCTGTTGCTGCTGCTGTTGTTGTTGCTGCTGTATCTGTAACTGTTGTAACTGCTGCCTTTGTCGTAGTTGCTGCTGTTGTTGCTGTTGTTGCTCTTTTTTGCCAAAGTCATAATAGTCATTATATGTATGTTGCTCTTCACTCTTGCCTTCAGTGCTACTTAATTCCTCTTCTTCTTCATCTGAATCAAGTAGACTTGGATGATTCCAACGAAGGCCACCTGTATGTTGATTATAATAGAATTCAGTTACACCGTCATCTGCAATTTGAAGAGTCCAGCCTTCGGGTAACTCCTTGTTCAGAGCTTTGTTTGTATTCGTAGGCTGGGCAATATTGACAGGTGGTTGTTCAAGGGCCAGTGAATGTGGTCTTGTGTTTGAGGTAACAAACAGACTGATTCTATTATTCTGCTTGTTCATGTTTTGCAAGATTTCTATTGCTCTTTCTTCTTCTCCATCGCTTTCTTGTTGTCGTGGCTGTATCTGTTCCTCTTCTTGACCTTCTTCAGGGTCAACGATTTTTACAAAATTACTAGGAAACCAGCCTCTGCTTCCTTTACATAAACCGTCCCACCAACCTGTGTCAAGTTGAGATAGAACGTCAATATATTCATCTTTTTCAAAGGATAGAGAAGACTTTTCTTTTGAGTTAAAAGCATAGAGCGCTTTCACTCTGCAGATAATCCTAGGAAACTCGGCTTCTGCAGCCATAATTTATTGAATGGAAAAAAAGAATAAAAAAGAAAGATGTTGGACAAGACAATAATCCGACAAATTAAGCATTTGTGTTACAATGATACGCGTGGCAATTACATGGTTTAAAAAAAACTGGTAAAAAAAAAATGGCGTCAAGTCAGGGTTCCCTAACAAGTTCCGAATTGTTAATGTAGTAAACGTTTGGTTGTCATGGATATAAAATTAATCATTATTCATATCAAAAAGCTGTAATTAATAAATAAGGCTAGCATGGCGCCAATTTATTTGATAATAAAGTTTTAACCGGCATATCGAACTTTCCTAAATAAATGGTTAAAGAGTGGCCCCTGTTTTACTTATAAATAGTTTTTTGTTACCTTGTACAGGTACAAAATAGTTGTTTAGGATCTCTTTACAAAATCTTGTCTTGTATTCTTCTGGTGGAACTATAGTTACCACCTTTTTGATGGTTGATTTGCCTTTGGATTCAATCTTTTTATACCAAGTATAAGCACCTATAAAGTCTTTAACAATAATTAGTATAAATTAAACTTAGATAGAGTCATCTTACCAACTATACCAGTCATGATCTCACGCCTTTCTTCATTTACCCCAACCAGAAGTGAATAGTCCATGATGTTACACTGAGATAAGAATTCAGCATCATTTGCTATGGTATCATCAAACAGAGATTTATTTTGCACAAGTAGCTTTGTTTTATACTCTACATTGCTTGTTAGTGTCCATTATTAATATGCTGCCAATCAAGTACCGTTTAACCAATCTCCGTCCCACAAAGTTATATCTTTTTGCTCTTTCTGGTATTCTCCCACATGTCGTTCTACTATACCTTTGAAATCAAACTTCTACATAAAATATAAATTAATGCTCATTCGCTCAAATGTGATACTCACTTTGGTGATATGTTGGTTATAGAATAAATGCTCCATCACCAACACGTCAAGGTATAGTGAACTTTCCTTCTTCTTGATCTCAATGGTAAAGAATCCAAATATCTTTGCTAAAGCACTCTATTATATGTCAAGCTTTTTACCCATAAAAGGGAATCCTTTTCTACCTGTCTTGACTTCTTCATATGATTAAAATACTTGGGCGCGAATTTCAAAAAAGCATCCTTTTCCGAGACGTTCCAAACATTCATCATTTCCTTCACTACAAATCGATCATCTATCCTCAATCTTGATTAGCTCATTTACTTGAATGAACAGGCGTTATACCTTGTGTCTTGTAAAAATGACTTTTACTTTTACCACCGCTTGCTACCCATGATTGGCATCGACAAAGTGATTCAATCATTATTTGATGTACACCACACTGTCGGCGAAGCATTTCGAATTCGCTCGCATAATAAACAATACATGTGAATTCAACGTCATTGTGCACAAATTCTGGATTATCAACTGTGTTGGTGCTACTTGTCTTATTATTTTATATTATACTACTTACTGTGCTGAATATGGAGACTACCACTATGACCTTTTTGGTTACCAACGGCAGATGTCGCCATCAACTCCTTGGTTTGTTCATCTGTTGATGATTTTTCTGTCACTTTTCTTGTCCATGGTAGAATATTCTTCAAGTCTTCCAATCGCTCTTCACTCACGTTTGATTTACAAATTTCAATTATCATCGTGCGAAACGAGGATGTCTCTGTGCTTGCTGTGGGTGACACATATTTGCGCTCAATAGAAGAGCAGTACCTGTCAAGAACTTGGCTGTTTTTGCCTGTCACAGGTAATTGTGCTCCTGGGGTTGAGAGAAATGCTACGTTTGGAGTAACCATACCGGATTTATTTGATGACTGTCCTTCTTGCATAAGCTCTTGAACGTATTCGTTTGAACTAGACAAAGTAGTCAGAACAATGAAATGGTATTCAAATGTTACCTTAATGTGTATGCAATGACAGATGTTGGCTCATCTTCTCTTACGAGAACTGCAGACCCAGGAAAACTATGTACCGATGCATCTCTGGTTATGGATTTCTTAATTTTCAATGTCATAGAACAGAGAGATGGTCACAAACCTTATATAGTCAGGCTTATCCCATCCACAATCGTCAATCACTTCCTTACACTTTTCCTTTTGCCATTGAGCTAGATTTTCAAGAATAAGCTGGGACTGTACACCGAAATATCGACGAAAATCATTCAATTCGTTCACCTTGGTTTCTCTGAGTATCCCCAGCATATCCTGTTCATCCCTTTCAATTTGCTTTTGCAAAGTCTGAATGTCCTGCTCCAAGCTATCCGACGCCAATTGCATTGCATCACGTTGCCTTCGTCTATGTTCAGCTTGAATATAGTGGCTGAGCAAGTTAAGATGGGTCAGAATAGATTCAAAAAAGACACCGACGTCGTGTGTTGCCAGTTCACGTTTCCAGCTGTTCAAGGTCGCCACTCTGAGTCTAGGCTCATCCATATCATATTGTGTGACGCGGGCCACGGACATCATTTGCAACCCTGGCAATCTCAGTTCATAATAATATCCTGGCTGATAGCCAAATTGGATCGTCAGGCCGTTCATGTGAAAATAACGGTAAGGCTTTGCTTGACAGGCGCAGATCAATCGAGTGTCATAAAATAAAAGCTCCAGGAATTTAGCAAAAGAAAGCATCAAGGCTTCGTGGGATAACTCTGTGGGTTCTTGTCCTCTCTTACACGATGGACAAAAAGTCCAGCTCGTCCATCGATCTTTATTTTGCGGCTGGTCACTTTGAAAGCATACGGTTACATTGCCATTATCGTGTGCAAATGAGCACTTATGGTCTCTAAACGGAATTTGCTTGCACTCGTGGCACAATGTGTCTCGCTTTGCGTGCCACTCAGATAGAATGTGGTCGAGTGTATGGTCTGACTGTGTACTAAAATAATTGAATTGATAAAGTACGGGTCCCATGCAGAGATGATCGTCACCAGAAGAGCAGCTAAAGGTAACCACCAATTTTTGATGCTGCTTGAAGCTGGTCAATGAAGTTGTGTCCAATGAAAGATGATCCAGGCCGATGTCAGGCACCACGGCTACTTCAGATGGTTCAGATCTCCACAGAGACAAAAGTGACGACCGTCTACGCGTGTTCTGAAGCATTCTTTTGCTCATCTTGATTTTATTTGTCAATTCCTCTTGTTCTCGTACAAGTCGATCAAGGATACGTGGGCATGGGAATTTGCAACCTGGAGAGGTTGAAATGAGAGCATGATCAACGCCTTCCTTCAGCCTTACAAACTGGTTGCTATTGTTTATACATGTTGTGTCTTTTGAGCCTTTATCCAATGAAAAGCGTCTCTTAAGCTCTTGTCCTACTGCTGTGCCAGACCCTCTGAAATTCTTTACCCAATTGAAAATTGAGATGTGTTTGTGATATTGATCACTCTCCGTTGTCTGTTCAACTGGATCATTGTAGATCAATAGTACATGGCTATCTAGCATAAACTCCGTTTCTAAATACAGACAGTATGTCAAATACAGTAATGATCTTGTTATCTCTCTAAAAGCAACAGCCATATTCTCTTTCACACCATAAAAGCGTATTGTGCCTCCCACAGGAAAATAAAATGACAGATCGTCTAATGAAAATGATGTATTAATACAAAAAAGAGACCAATTCATGCAACTTGCCAAAATGAATCAAATCACCATGATAGACGTTCTTTAGAAACTTGGAATCCTTTGGTGAATTGGATGAGATGAATTGGATATATATCGGGTTAGTTTGTTCTGTCAACTGATGTAATTTAAATGTCTCGAATAATTTGTGCACGACTGTATCTAATAGTATTTGATGCCAATAGACTGGTATATCCAATTCTTCTAACCAATGAATGAGTAAACTACCAGCATGTTTCTTTGAAAGACTGTCCAAGGTTGTCTTTATTGTTGGCAGCGGTTTTGAATGTCGTGATTCAACTTGCTTTAAGCGAGTCATTTCAAGATTACAAAAAATAAAATAAAATATAAAATAAAAAAAAAAGGTACGCAAGCTTCGCTTTTATTTCTATGGTTACAAAGTGCAACGCACACACGCGCATGAATATACTTTTTGCAAGAGAGCAGATATATGTTTATTATTATTATTTGTTATTAAAAAGAGAGAGAAAGTGATATTCTACATTATAAAAATTAAAAACCAGAAACGAATACTAATTCTTGGAAGCAGTGTCCTTCTGTGGTAACTTTTTCTTGACCAATTGTAATTTCAGCTGTTGCCTTGTCTAACCATTGATAGATATAAGGCTTAACTACAAATGTCTGTACAAGCTTTCTGATGACATAAGGTATTTCAGCCAAGACATCGATCTTGTCAATCAGATTTTTGATTTCAACCACCATTATAATAGTAACATCCTTGGCTTCATCGTCTTCCTTTTCTTTAATCGTCTTTCCTTTCCATGTCAGTTTGACTTTCTTGGGAATATCATATTCTGTTTCTGTATCTTTTGCCAAGTCCATCAATTCTGCGTCATTGTCGACAGATACAGATATAAGCTTATCATTGAGCACAAGAGATCCTTGGTTAATGTTGACTGAACCATACTGCTTTGTAGTTTGGAATTGCATCATGCCGATAGAAGCTTCCTTGGAATGGAAATTGATAAAGTTCCAATTAGAGGCAATCAGCTGAGGTTGCATACCCTGAATAGCATGGATAAACATGCCATCACCTTCGATTTCATAAATTTGTTGGTTAACAATAAATGTTCCCTTGGATTCAGCTCTTGGCCAAAATTTATGTGAGACAAAGCCAGCAGCGGATTGCTTATCTCCTCCCAAATAAGTCTTGCCTTCGCCTACTTTAAATCCTCTATCGATCTTTTTGAATTCTAAAGAGACAACAAGCTCAGGATGGGTAATGTTGATCTTGTATACTTGTTGAGCAGCGTCCAACTGAATGGTAAAGTAGTCAGTTTTTACAGAACGTCTGTCAGCAGAGAGTTCAAACTTGGTCATGTTGATATTCTTAAAGACATTAGTATTAGTCTCAGGATTATAGAATTTGCAAGTGAATGAAATAGTAGGGTTCCATAAGCTATTATTAGTTGTAATATTAGTGATATGTCCTTTACCCTCTTTAAGCTATTTTTTTTTTTTCTTTACCCAATATTGGAATGAATCAGCTGAACAAAAGCAAAGGTACCATTTCTGGTCGTAGTATAAAACACTTGGTTTTCAGTAGAAGAACCAGAAGCTAAAGTCCACTGAAGATCATTCTCATCAAGTGGGGTATAGTATTGTCCATCTTTTGCTGTTTCAGCCACCGTTTTGATTGTTTCTACAGTTGCGCCAATTCCGGTAACATTAGACACAGTACTTGAAAGCTGAGAGACTAGTCAAATACGTTAAAGGAGGAATCATGTCACTCTTATTTTATTCTTACACCAAGAAGACATGATTGTTTGTAAAAGAAAGAGTGAAAAAAGAAGAAGAAAGAGCCAGTGCTGTCTTGTTATTTGTTCTGTTGAATCGTTGTGTGACGGTTGCTTTATTGCAGTGTTGAAAAGTATTCTTGTGATAGCCAATGGAAATGGATTGGTGCTGGTTGAGAATGAATTTTTTGTCTGATATTGGATGATGAAAGGTGGACGTGCATACAGCTGCATCTGACGATTATTTACACATTGCCTTAGAAAAAGAATAATGGCTTCGTACTTGTGTTATAAAGAAAAGAAACTATAAATTACAGCTATGGAAAATCCTCTAGAATACTAAGGAGAGTATACTGTCAAGACTACTTTATATTCCTGATGACTTGAATAACTTGTGCTATCATCAAATCATCACACACACGCACATATACATAAACACACAAGTAACGAATAATAAAAACGCGTCATTTATTAACCAACTTTCTTTTTTTTTATTTACATTTATTTATAATAAAGGCATACTCCTTTTAGTTCTCAAGACAATAATAGTCTTGATTAACAGGATTGGCCACGGGAAGGTAAGAGTACATATGATCCCAAAGAAAGAAAGGTATACACTGAATGTCAATGGTGTATATATCTTATAAAAAGGAGTGATGTATCAAGGCTGAACTTATACATCTGAAAAACCTAGAAAGTACAAGTTGAACAGTCCCAGATAAGTCTGGATTGACAGACTGCCAACAGGTAGCTATCGATTGACCTCAACCTCGTCTACCAGTCGTCCCGCAAGCTCAGAAGATGGTCTTGACTCAGCAAACTACCCAAAATAGCTTTTAGTTCGATACCGCCTAGTAACATCATAAGCATTTATTTGAGTAGCCACACTTAGAGAGCATTTCTCTGTTCACAGATAACGGGCAAAGTGGTTAATCACACAAGTGTAGAAAAAAAGACCATTCAATTAATGATTTTCTATTGGCTAATACGTTTCGATAACAACCACAGCGTTATTCTATTGGCTAACGCGTCTCAATAGCAACCAAAGACTTTGTTCATGCTCATATGATTGTCAACAAGTGCAAAGCTTTAGGTTATTATGACACTTGCTTAAAGAAAGCATTACATAACTGATATTGGAGCATTTTAGTAGCACAATATGCGCTTATCTGATGCTCTAAAAGAGTGAAAATGATGAAGCGTATACTGAGACGCTAACTGTATCTTTTCACATATTCAATTGTAGTTTTATGAACAGATGGTACTATAGTCTAAAGGCACAACAGAAAGAAGGATTATCAAATATATTGGCTGCATAACATAAATAAGGGAATTTACAATTATGAAAGTGTACATATGAGGAAAAAGAAGGTAAAGGACAACTATACCAAAAGGAACGATGTACTATAATACAAGGTTCATCATATACGTTTTCTTCCATAGATCTCATGCCATATTGGGTTTGGTTTTTCCATTCCATCTGGTCCACTAATGATGCACATTAGTATATATATCAGTGGTATAATGATAAACATTTACATGATTATATCAGTCTTCCTCAAACTAATAAAAGGTATTTGCTGAATAAGCACACGCATACTGGATATGTGTCTTTCAGTAGGCTTAGGTATAGGTGAGGATGCATTCTAAAGAAGATGTATGTTTGTATTGTCATTACAGTTTATTGTTTTGTGCTTACCCTAAAAAGACTTTGAACATCTCTGTTTGGGCTTGGTGTGTAGCTCATTCTTGAGACATCTCTCACGGGGCTTGACGTGCTATATCTTGTGTTCCTAATAGGAGTAGAATTGTTGTTGCTGTTGCTACTACCACTACTATTGTAAGTTGGCTTTGATATATGTAGACGTTCGGAAAAGTTTCTGTTAAATATGGGGCTTGAAGTCGGCTTTGCAGGAGAGTAGGTTCTGGGTGATACTGACATTGGTCGTGGTGAAGCAGCATTAGAGGGAATGGGTGATTCATCAAGATCTGGAGACACGAAACTACTAATCTAAATTGATTTCAATAAATATGATAAATACTCAATGGAAAAGCGTTTTACCTGATGGTTAATGTCGTTCACCTTCTTTTCTAGCAGTTGCATGCGCTCTTCTTCCAATCTCAATTGCTCTGAAGCCGTCATGGATTGCTTATTCTTTGGTGCTGAAGGCTCAGGAACGGACGAAGGAGGTGGAGGTGGAGGTGGCGATGGCTCTGTTGTTGTTCTGACTTCATCCATTATGACATCTCTATTTACAAGTGGTGTAAATGATTCACTCCTGCTTTCTATCTTGGGACGCTTGAACGTAGGCGGATGGGTCATGGAAAACTTCTTTTCCAGCTCTGACGTTAATCTCTTCACTGTCTTTTGACCCGTTACGATATCTGAATTCCGCCGCACTGCATCATGATCGCTCTCCATAAATGATTGTCGTTGGTTAGGTGGAGCAGATATTGAAAGGCTGTTGTTGCTATGTGTGCTGCTCGTGCTTGGTTCACGTATACGGTTTTCTTTAAACCTGCGAATAGGCGATACATAGCTTGTTCGCTGAGGTGATGAGGTATCCCTCTTTATCATCTTCTTTGGCCTTTCAGACTCAACCTCATCTTCATACAGTTCCCTCCTCCTATCTACAGCCAAGCTACTGATATCCGCTTTGTAACTACTGTATCTATCCAATTCTTCCTCAGGCAAATCGTCTGTTTGAATTTCCGCATCCTTTGCATACGTACGACGATATCGATCCTCTAATATTCTTCCATGAATGCTTTTAACAGTACTTAAGCGTGGTTCGTCACGTTTATTGTGCTTGAAAACTGGTTTTTGAGTAGGCTTCCATCCGATGGTCTCACAGAATTTATCAAATTCAAGTGTAGCTGATTGAGTTGCATTCGATATTACATCAACAATGCTTGAGAAAATAGTTGCATCCTTCTTTTGTTGTTGCTCTTCTTCTTCATTTTGGTTCATACCTTTTTTTTTCTTACAGTTTTGTTTATCGTTTTTGAAGAAAAGAGAGAGGAAAAAGAGGGCTGTGACTCTATTAATTGAGTTTTAAATATCTTTGCTTTCATCCTCCCCCTTTTTTTTGGGTTATCCTTTTTCTGTATGTTTTATTATTTTATTTCTACTGTGAAGGGAAACTATTATTTTCAGAACGAATGGATTAAAGATATTAGTGATTTCAATGACTTTGATGAAGATACAGAATACTGCATCATATCCATGACAACATTACCAACAAAGAATGAACACTGGCAGTGTAAAGGTAAAAAAGTGTAAAGAAATATATAAATCAATCACTAATACTATTTTCTCTAGTGACACGGAAGATAATAAATCAATTTCATTTGAATAATATACCACAAGATAAACGAACACTTGTGGTTAACTCCGCATTAAAAGGATATCGATCATTGTATGGACAAGAGTTAAAGTGGAAGGTGACGAGAAAAGAGGACGATAATTGTGAGGTAACAGCAGAAATGAATACATATATAACAATAATAATAACAACAATCGTATAGCTCTCTTTACTATTCTCATTTGATCAAGAGCTCACAGTAAGTAATTGAGCATTATTGTCCTGTCCAAGCTAACTTTCGTTATTTTAGAGTTGCCTTGGTTCATTTATGATTTACAAGGTTGCACCAGATCAAAAAGAAAGCCTGCAGAATTCATGGATGGAAAATTCCGTTCGACAATGTCAAGACTTGTTTGTAAGATGAATGATGGAATTAATACATGATATATTAACTCTTCTTTTTGCAGGAAATAAATGCTTTATTGAACACAAGACTATCTGACATGGAAGAACTATATGAAGAAGCCAAGAAAAGCCTAGTGAATATTCAAGCACGTAATGCTGAGACATATTTTACAAATCTAAGCAAATATACCCAACTACTTAATGCAAAGAAACTCAAGATTAGGAAACTATTAGGCGTAAAGGAAGAACAAAATGGTAGTGAATCAATAAAGATAATACAATCAAACTAATAAGAAAATGAATAGTTACAATCAAACATTTACAAAATAACAAGCGGTCAAATGCTGAATTAGAATATCAACAGTAAGAAAATCAAGCTTATTCTTTAATATTTATATTTATATGCTTATCTACGTTATATATAGATCACAACAAAGTCAATCTAGAAGAAAAAGAGTTAAAAAGACAGTAGAGAAAAAAACTGTCAGAACGACAAGTCGCTCAAAAGCAGTGGAACGAAAGTCATCGCTTAAACCGTCCGGTAGTTTGGAAGACAACCAAGATGATATGGATGAAGACCCTTCCATTTCTGATTCAAACGATGAGGACCTTTTTACAAAAACAAATAGTCAATTGCCATCACAGACTATAGCTGATTCGCCAAAAGAAGCAGCAGCAGAACCAGAAGTACCCATACTTGATACAGAAAATGCATCAATACCGATGCCATCTTCAAATCATCTTGTTTCTCAGCAAATCGATATCGTTTTATCACAGTCAGAGGCTCTTGACGAATTTAATGTTGATGATCTATTTAATGATACAGACGAAGAAGAAGCGGCACTGTTCACTACTGCTAAGAAAAGGCCATCATTTGTAAAATAGTCTACAATAAAAAATACCATCATTGAACATAAAGTGGGTTATTTCTCTTGTTTTTATTGGCTGCAGTAATAAAACATAATCCCCACGCTTTTTTTCTCTTTTTCTCTTTTTTTTCTTTACTTTTTTATCAAAAAAATGTCACTTTCTCGAGCCTTTTCTTTTATTCAACGTCGTCAGTTCTCCAACAGTCGTCAGTTGTACATTTCTGAAGGTGATTCACTTCCTAATGTTCAAGTTCAATTAAAGTCTCCTGGTGAAACTATCATGACTCAAGACCTCTTCAAGGACAAGAAAAAGTCCATCTTGATCGGTGTTCCTGGTGCATTTACACCTGGATGCAGTAAAACACACTTGCCTGGATATATCGAAAAGGCCAACGAGCTTAAATCCAAAGGTGTGGATCTCATTGCTTGCACTTCTGTCAATGACGCGTTTGTCATGACCGAATGGGGCAAGTCATTAAAAGCAGAAGATGCAGTCACTTTATTAGCTGATTCAAAAGGAGAATTCGCCAAGGCTCTAGATCTATCCTTTGATGCTAGTGGAGCCCTTGGTAATCATCGTTCCAAGCGATTTGCTGCCATCATTAAAGAGGGTAAAGTAGAAAAATTGTTCGTTGAACCCGATAATACTGGATTAAGTGTCTCCTTGGTGGACAGTGTGTTGAAGCATATTTAACGCCAACTTAATTTGTGCAACCTTTAAATAAAAAGAAATCATTTCTCCCATTTTAGGATTATATTTCTTTCTCTTTTTTATTTATTTTTTTTTAATATAATTCTCAATACATGTTATGTGGAAAAGGAAGACATCACTTCTTTTTGCATCAGCTGTAGCTTTTTGTAGTCTAGTGTCGATATGCTTTATCTATTTTTATTATGAAGAAGAAAAGTATTTAGCTTACTTGCCTCACTCTGGTTTATCAAATCAACGAATTGAATTAGCCAATGCATTATTACTAGCCGCTATACTTAAGCGTACTCTTATCATACCCCCAGCATTCCTTGGTAATGTCATGGGTTGGATGCCAAGGGAGCAATTACTTGATCACCTTGGTTGGTTAACGACTCCTAAGGACTTTGAAACTATCTGTCAACCTCCGACACCGGGCGACCTTCCAAGTTATATCCAAAGAAGCAAGTGTGCTGAATACCAACAATTTGCTGCAATACCATGGACACATCTCCATGACTTTTCCGCTCTATCACCCTATGTACGTATCCGTTTTCAGGATACTGTGTCACTTGAAAAGCTGCAACAAGATTTAGGCATAACTGACAAAGACACTTTTATTTATGAAGACGCACACTTGTATGATTGGCGACTATACGAAGACATTGAAGAAGCAAAGCAAATTTTAAGAAATGGGTCCAATTACATCAACTCATTTACTGACCGAAAGTATTATAAAATCTTCACTCTAGAGCACTGGAAGAACCGACCCGAACGATTACTGCAGCTAGGAGGAATATTTGGATCGACACGGCTCAACATGGTGAAACCAGAACATGTGGAACTCCAACAACGGATTGCAGAAGCGCTTCGTTATAGATTGGATACACCTTTAGGAGAGACAGTAAAGGGTATTGTGGAACATTTGGGAGGCAAGGCAACGTTTATGGCTGTTCATTTCCGTGTACGAGATGTGCCATTTAGAACATATGCTATTGACAATTTGCACGCATTTGAGCGAAATATGTCGATTGCGACGGGTATCCCTGTACCTCCTGCACCACCTCTGAATGAATTTGGGGTTTATACTAGTCTACCAAAGCCACCGCCTAGACCAAAGAATGTCATTCGTGTAGATCCTCCGACAGATTTGAGGGACGTGCCATGGTCCAACCTATGCGAGCATGTGTCACCCAACCTGACAGAACCTATTGATCATGTTGGATCACATGCGATAGTGTACATTGCAACAGATCATAAAGATTTACGAGGTGAAAATAGTCGACTGCTGGAATGGTTTGACTATTTCCCTTGTACGCTTACATTAAATGATATCCCATCTGAACTACTCAATCCTTTAGACCAAATGCATTGTATGTTTAGTCCCTCAAAACCTTTAAAATCATTCCTTATCCCACTTGTCGATGCCATGGTGGCTGCACATGCAAGACGTATATTTACAACGCCAAGATCAACATTTTCAAAATACATTGGCGAGTTAAATGAAGCCTGGGTACTGAAAGAACAAGGTTATACACTTGATTCTTTTTCATAATAAAATTTTGCTTTTTTTTCCCTTCTTTATTCTTTTTCCTTTTTAAAGATATGTTTGGACCGATATTCTTATTCATTACTGCAGTTTTACTATGCGTCATCCTACTGTTTTTAACTATATTCTTTGTATGCTTTTAATGTAATACTAATAATACTAATACTAATGACATGTGTAGGTCATCATGTTTTCAGATTTAGAATGTGATTATATCAATCCCATTGACTGTTGTAACAAACTCAATCAGGTAAAGTGAGAAATACACAAAATACAAGAGCATTACTAAAAGAAGGCCATCATATAGTTTGTTTTACCAGAGATTGGCCTTCAAGGCTTTTTATGTTTCTTATTCTTGATAACAGGTCACTGGTTCCCAGTGCTCATCAATTTACCTGTTACTTTACACAACTTTAAAAAGTAAGTTACGCGCGCGTCTGTATATTTGAATGAAGACCAACATTATATAGGGTTAGGGATCATGTTCATATGTATGATGCCACAGAAATATTTAGAACCTTGTCAAAACATAAGAAAGAAAGCTTTATTAAGCTTGGATTTTATGCGGTGGTAAATAAGCTATTTACATAAATAATAATAATATATAATAATTAATGACTATATAGTGTTTCTTTTACTATGTTTATCGTATGGTTGTAGCCCTTGTTGCCGAATAAAAGATTATTATCACTAGTATTCTTCTTCATCTCGATTTTCATGGTTAAAATCTTTTCCGCGAAAATCTCGTTTACACAATGGACATGTAGCGTTCAAACTTAACCATTCCTTGACACAATCTCTATGGTAGATATGACCACACCTAGAGGAGATCATTGTTATTATATACATATATATGTATACATATCTATAATATACTTGCCATAGTCTACATAGTAAATCATCATTTTCATATTCGGATAAACAAATGGAGCAGATCGCATCCTCCGATCTAGGAATTGTTAAAGCCTCGATATGAGAGGATTGTTCTTGTTCTGTCACACCATGACGACGCTTCATCCATCTCCTTATGAAATTAGATTTAGATCTTTTTGTAGTTTCACCTTCTACTGGGGTAGGCACTGTACATCCCTGTTGCTCTTGTTCTGGTGATTGTTCGACGGTGTGTGCCTTATATCTGAATATAGGAATTTTGTCAAGTTCTTCTTTTGAGCCACCTTCCATTACGGTTGATATATTAATATTGAATGCACGCATGGCCACTTTATACATGTTAAATATTTTCCATTTATATAAAATATGCTAAATTACCTAGAACAACCGGTAAACAGAATATAACCGAGATGCAGACAAATACTGGAATTAAGAGTAAGGCGTAACCCAGGATAATCCATGCGAGAATGGTGTAGTAAAACAAGGAGGCATCTTCGGAGCAACCAGAAGGTGAGAAGATGAGGTAATTTCCAACGATAAACCATAGTATAGCAAATAAATCTAGTAAGGATTTCAATCGATATGCCCATCCGCTCATTAGACTTCTTGACTGTTCAGGATTTGGTTGCTGTCGAGATGGTCTTGATAGATGCTGATAAACGACAAGTGGACAAGATAAACCGACTCTAATGACATAGATGATCAAGTACAACTGCAATGGTTGTTCACAACGTGGTGTTCTTATCACTTGACTACTTCCAATGGCCAGCACTGTCACTGTTACTGCAACCTACAAAAGGTATTACTTTCTTGCACTTCCTTTTTTTTTTGGATGATATCATTACTTGAAAAATCACTAGTATTAATGACATGATTAATATTGCTTTATGAGCCCTTGATATTCGATTCCACGAATAGATGAGCCAATTTGACCTCACTGTGCGGGCGCCATTGGTATTTTCAGTGCTTCCTTCCGTTGTTGCTATTGGTGTTGCTGCTGCTGTTGCTGTTGTTGTTGTTGTTGTTTCTGCCGCTGTCGCTGTTGTGTCCATGTATACAAATAAATAAATTAAAAAAAAGAAAAAAAAAGAGTAAACAAATAGAAAAAACGAAATTATGCTTGCTGTATTTTCGGAAAGTCATCGTGCAACAATAAAAATTCGAGTCGTCCGGAGTTGGAAAATCAATACCTGCAAAAGCATAAGTCCAAATCGAACAAAAAGACAGGGAAAAAAAAAAAAAAAAAAAAAAATAAAGCATGTCTCACAAGAAGTAAAGTGGATAATAGGTTATGAGCTGAAAGACGGAAGTGCTAGATACTTTTACCCTATGAATTTTTTTCTTGACAAAAATAGCACACAGATGTCATATTTACTCTATAAATACTTGATAGTATGAGATTACTCTAAAAGATTAGCCACAAAACATGTTATATGACAATAGCGCGTTATGCTCAACTCCCATTGGACATGTAATACTCCTGTTTTAATATAAAAAGGAGCTTTATCATAATATTGTTTCTTTCTTGCCTTGGGCAATTTTGTTTGGTGTTTGAAGGAAAGTCTTATGCGCATCAACTATAAAGCAAACAGATAATTTGCATACATATAAAAGCAGCTTCAAAGAATATGCGGCGTTGTTAAGCGTATTAAGGAAGAGCATGACACTTATGAAGTTGAGAGGATGCTTTGTTGTGATAACAGCCGCGCTCCACTCTCCCAAAATGATGAATGATGGTATTAAAAAGCCAACAAAATATGATGGCTACGATGTGGTGTTTCTGGAAGAAAAAGAGGATGATGAAAGCTTTTTGTAAAATAAACGTATAACTACGCTAAAGCTTATTTATTATTATGCCGTGTGTTTGTATGGGTTGCGCAGATTTGTAAGTCTATCGTATCAGTAGTTTTTTCTTCATCTTTCGGAGAGATATACAATAAGATGAAGACAACAATCAAGATTGCCTTGCCCCTATGTAGCCTCTTCTTATGTCATTTGTTGTCTGAAGTTATTATTTTATTTAAAATATTTTTTACAGCTTGCGAATAAAGCGTATTGTCCACTCCAAATGGAATCTTTGCCAAAAAAGGTAATTGACAATTAGAAAAGGCTAAATAGCAAGGCGACCTCTTTTATCCCCTTGAGAGGGAAGTGGCATACATACAGGTGACTCCTGTAAAGAAAGATATTCAATCTGTCGTTGTTGGTAAGAGGTACACAGATAATCCAAGTTTCCGTGGGTTTCTAGAATGATATGTACTGCCCTTTGGAATTCCAGAATCAACCCATGAACAGCCTCCTCGTTTGCTGAATTACCAAGGTTACGGTGCACGTCAAAGGGTTCCTCAACGCAGAGTAGCTGTTGTGACTCAGGTCCCTTGTGCCATCCCTTCTCTTGTCTGCTGAGTACTTTGCCTGATCGAACAGAAATGACCTGGGATCTGTAATCAAATTCGAACCCATACCGTCTAAAAAAGGCGTACAACAACCCACCGAGCGTCTCGCGGTTTGCTCGTCCGTATCCCCTCAATTGGTCCGGATTGTCGCAAAATGAGGTATTGAGTCCATGTATAACCTGATTATCTTCAGACAACGAATGAGGCATCTCATGTAGCGAGGGCAAGATAGGTGGTTGCCTTGTTTGCAAGAAATTGATGGCCATACAGACCCATGTATAAGTAGATATCGTACCTCCTTGTGCTTTTTTTTTTTAAAAAAAAAAGAAGAAATATTGGCAAAATGCAGGATAGTATCCATCTTTTCTTTTTACCTGCATCATTGATGTTGCGCTGCTTAGCCCAATGTTTAATAAACAGAATCAGAGGGCGCACACGTGGGTCAATTGAAACGTATGTTTTGATCATTTTGGTATTTTGAAGTGCGAGCGTATTATTGAGGTTAAAGTCACCTGCTATATGCCTTTTTACTGCCTTTAGAAAAATGGATTTATACATAATCACGTGAGCACTTACAATTCTGGATCCCATACTTTAGCTATAGGCACCTTGGCATTGCTAATTAACTTTACTATTTGTAAACCATCTAACATGATCACAATGAGTTCTTTGTTGCTTTAATAATAATCTATGGTTTACGTTTTTTTAATGCAAAAGACAATGAATAGATACAAGTGAGCTTTGAACAGGTAATGCATAAATCTACGTCCGATTGTTCCATACTGAGCCCGTTAATTGAGGAGCTTGAGGAGGGTTAGAACATATATTGCTTTTATGTAATGTAACATACCCAAATACATGAACTCCGGTCTCATAATCTGGCCATTCTGTCTTTAATATGTTCCGTATTTTCGAAATAAATAGCTGTCTTTGGTCATAGGAAGCTCGAGAGGGCAATAAGGTCTATTAGAAATGAGTGATTTCTTGTCTTTTCATGCATTGTTGTATTACATTATAAACATCTAGTAGATCAAACGAGAGTGAATCATAAAATGGTAGAGTCGTGGGCGGAACGGATAAATCGTATGTACTTGAACCAAGAGAGCGATTGGATTTGGTAGTGTGATGTGGCATAATTAAGGGATGAAAAAAGGATGAATAAACTTTAGAGACACAGCATAAAGAAAGACGAGAGACACAAGAGGAGAAAAAAAAATCTCCTTGGCGCGTCTACTGCTTAAGGTGAATTAATTTAGTCATTGTAAGGCAATAAGTGTTTTATTTTTAACCGAGAATTGGCAGAGACGGAACAGCTAACGCTATCTTACTACTAATATAATGGTTCCTTTATTATTATTATTATTTTTTCTCTCTCCTCCCCACTCCGGAGATTATTCAAGAAATGTAGAAAAAAAAAATTAGTTATTATCTATATATGCATATACACCAGCCCTATCCTAGTATGGATCACGACTCTCTGCACGTTGAATCATATCGTACAGCACCTTTGCTTCAACAGGTGGTTGAATTTCACCTTTCAATATAGCATTTGCACGTATAGGTCTTCCGTAAAACTTGGCGTTTGCCTTTTGCAGCTCAATTAATCCAGTGCCTTCAATGCTCATCCCTGCGAACAATCCCTTGGACTTTGTGTAGGAAAAAACAGGTGCTACCTTCTTATCACGAATATCGCCCGTGATAGATGCCTCTCCACCAGCACCAATGGGTCCTGCGCTTACTGATAAATTACCGCCCAGTGTTAGATTGCCTCCCTGAGAAAAGGCGCGCACAGCTTCGTCGCTATTGAGAATCAGGACAAAATCAGTAATATCGGCGCCAATTTGAGCACCAAATCCAACGCCGCCTGTTGCAATTGCCGTGGGTGCACTCCACTCTTGGCAAGTATTAGTTATTGTCTTTTTCTTTTTCTGGAAACTTACTGCCATCAGGTAATCTATGTAAATCATCAAGAGTATTAGTTTCATTCTGCACTTTTATTCTATATCTACGCGTTACCTAGCAACTACAATGCCACTGCCTGCACGCCCACTCCAAAGAAAGCCAGCCTTGACGACAGTAAAGATAGCTAATCCTTTGGCTTCCTTGATAACAGAAACAGGGATGATTGTATCAAAGCCATTTTCAATTTCCTCCTTGTCTAATGTCATGTTTATAAATATACATTTGTCAAAAGGAGTATCATCGCTTACTTATAAACTGTTCCAAAATACGAGCGGCCTTGGCACACTCTTCTGGTAACGTGCCTAGAATCGGGTTGTTGAAATTCCCACTGGAGCCTAAGCCAGTGTATTAATTAGTCCACGTCAAAAATAGAAAGACACCGATGTCTGTTCTTACTTGCATTAGAAGCCATGTCACCAATGGAACGGGTAGCTTGTTGACCCATTTGAGTCGCACCTGATATTTTGCTTAAGCTAGTTGTTATGGTAAAAATAGGCAGCACTTACTTGATGCAGCTTGACTGGCCTTTTCTTTTATTTTATCAAACATAGACATGTTAAACTAATAATAATAATAAAAAGAGGTAAAAAATGCCGAGACTTTCTTTTTTTTTTTTCTCTCTCTATTTAAGCTTGTTTAGTGTAACAAAAATGACGTTATTTCCTTCATGCAAAACTTCCATATTCAATCATACCCAAACAGCTTTTTTAATGCAGCTACAGTTTATAGTATAGAGTTTATTTTGATAGTGTCAATCAACATTTCTGAAATATTAGTCTCTGTATATGCTTATCGGACCGCTTAAATGGACGATGATAGATTCCTCAGTATGAAAAGATAAGACTGTTTTGATGAATGAAATGGTATATTATATATTTATGAAGTTAAAGGTTAAACCAAGGTAAATGTTCAATATCATTGATATGGATTCGCTTGTCTGGATCTCGTTCTAGTATTTTTGATACGACATATTTTGCTTCCTGACTTATCTCAGAGAGTTCATCCGTAGGCCACTTGACCTCTGCTTTGACGATACGGTAGAACAGTTGAGACACGCGCTCCTGTTTACCAGGATCATAGCGGAAAGGTAAATAGCCAACCAAGAGAGCGTAGAGGATAATACCCAATGCCCACACATCCGTTTTTCGTCCATCGTATCCTTTGCTTTGTACAATCTCTGGAGCAGCATACTCTTCACTTCCACAACGAGTTGTCAATAAAGGTGATTCAGGATCAACCACTCGAGCGAGACCAAAATCTGTTATTTTCAGAATGATTTGATCATCCTGTTCTCTGTGAATTAAAATGTCTACAGAGAACATGAGTAAATGACCCTGAACGTATTTATATCATACATACTCTCAAGCTTCAGGTCTCGATGAACAATGTGATGCTCATGTAGCCACTTGACTGCCTTGACCAATTGTAAAAACAGATGCTTGATCGTCGACTCATTGACCTTTTGCTGACTCAGACGTGATTGATAATGCATCTTTTGAACGAAATCAAAGAGTTCTCCTCCTTCCACATATTCTAGGACAATACACATGATATGCTCTGTTTCCATTGTGGCTTCTAGATGAACAATATTGGGATGATTGATATACTGTTAAGTGGAGTTACTATCATATTTCACATTACAAAAGCCTATAATGTTTACCTTTAATATGCCAATCTCTCTTTCTATACTTGATCTAACTCTTGGGTCGTTCAATACTTTGCCTTTCTGTATTGTCTTTACTGCATAAAATTGATCCTTTTCTTGATGATGCCCAACATAGACTTTTGAAAATGCTCCAACCCCCAATAGTTTACTTATCCTAAAGGAGCCAATCTGTTTTCCAATAATCTCCTCGTCCATCACATGACTTATTTTAGTGCTGTATTTGTATTGTTGCTCTCTTTTGATAGGCTCAACATAATCCCCAAGCATCGGTTCATCCGAGAGACTGGGTGTTTCATTTGAAATAGAGGGACTGAGACAGGACATAATCACAGGTAGTTCTTCTGGTTTCTTTGCGAGAGGAAGTTTCTTTTTTATCTCTCCCGAGTTACTCGGTCGTGGTGTTGGAAGGGCCATAATTTCGTCTTCGGAGAAACTGGTTATCGTAGGCGATGGTTCTTCAGTTTCTGGTTTTTTCATGGACAAGTACTGGGGTATAGGTGCTGGTGCTGGTGCTACAGAGGCTTGACGTGTAGCAGCCACGAGGTTTCGAAGACGATTAGCGTAACTCTCATGATGGTTTGGTGTTGCTGTTTCCTCATAGTCGACAATAGGGGTATGCGTATTATTTTGCTTGATTGATATTTTTCGAGTGATCGATGGAGGTGGTCGCGGTGTGGGGATATTGCTGGTATTAAAGAAAGCGTTGGTTTTTGATAAGTCTGTATTGATCTCTAGTCCACGAGAGGCCTGTCTTCTATGGTGCAGTTTACTAGTAGAGCCATTATCCATATTATTTGGCTAAATCGTACCATCTTTAGTCTGTTTTTTATAGATTATTTGATTGTATTTTACCTCTAGTAAACCGTCTTCTCGGGAATGTTTAATTAACGACTCCTATTATCATTGTGTTAATCATCGTATCCTTCTTTTGGTAATCGTTACCATCTATAATATATTGTGGTTTTTTTGGAAATAAAAGAGAGACGAAAGAAATAAAGAGAGAGAGATAAAGAAAATCAAATCTATTTTTTTTATAAAAATGACTCTTTTCTCTGTATGACTTTAAAAAAAGGTCACGACGATCTGATTTCTGAATGAATTCTTCAACAAAAAAGGTTAAATTCACTCTTTTTTTTTTTCAGAGTGTAAATTAATTAGGACCTCTCCTCCTTCATAAAAATAGATGTTGCATCTTGTTCAAAATCAAATCTGCGGTAAATGTTTCCTATGTCTAAAAATAAATCATAGAGACAATAAAGAAGAACCCTTTAAAAGAGACCAATCATCAAGGAGAGACGTACTAAAAATGGATATCAACTGTGTTCATTGGTTATGAACGCATTCGGCTACACAAAAGAAGTTACACTTACGCATTAAATGTCTACTCATAAAAATTATGCCTTTTCTAAAACCGATGTTGCAGAGTTACGATATTCATCAGTCCATATGGTTGGTAACCATGACGATAGACCACATCCCACTACAGTTTTTTGTGGACACAAGTAAGTTTATTTTCGGTCACTCTGGTTTTCTTTTACAGGCATTGTTTTAAACCATATTCGGATAAATGTACACGAAGATGCAGATCAATTGGAAAAACATTTCAGACTTTTGACTTGTCCAAATCAGACGAAAATTAAGAATTACTGAGAGAGTATTTAAAAGGCACAAAAGCATAGGCTTGTAATGTTTGCTTTATGAAGATTCCTCTATTATGAACTTTTAACAATGCGTCAACACGCATACATAAGCTCACGGCAACAGCTCCTCTAACAAGATTGAATTTTGATACACCTGCCTTTGCGTAAGGCAAGCGAATAAATCTTGCTGACGCCAATTAGACCATTATTCCTGAACTATGAATGGAGATGTGCCAAAGGTGCCAGCAGGTTCTAAAAAAGGCTTTGCAGTCAAAGCTAATAATAAATACATCGAGAACAACATAAAAAGCCTTCTAAAATTGCAACCAAGGAAGGATAAAACGTCCCTAAGGCAGCAAAAATCACTGGTATACAGAAAAGCACAGCCTACGAGGTAAGCTAGGCATGAAATCAAAGCGACAGAAGAGTATATCCTTCAGATGACATGAATATGAAATCAAAAGATAAACCTACTGCTGACTTTTAGGATCGGAAATTAATGATTAAATAAAATAAAAAGTAGACTAAAGAATTGCTCCTGCTGCCCATGTTGCATAGTATAAATTTTAAGCTCAATTCCCTATGTCTACTTTCTCTATGTCTACTTTCTCTACGTCCATTTCTCTGTGTCCATTTTACTTCTTGAAATATTAATTATGATTACCATTACAAGAGAGCAAGCAGCATGTATGCTACGCTGTGCTTCATATAATTATGAGAACGTTAAGAAATATTGTAAAGTAATTAATGACCTTGAAGGCTTGGAAGTTTGTTACATGGAGGATCCTACAGAACCGATTATTACGTCTATTTTTAAAATCAATGCTTATCCTTTTGGATTTAAAACGTATCCTGAAAAATCATAGAGTTCTTCTGTGGTAGAAGAAAAAAATGAAGATTGTAACGAAAGGAAAACGCTAAATGCGCGAAAAAATTCACGACAAAGCGGCTAACGCTACGAACACTACCTTTGTTGTCTCTACAACTTCACACTATCAAATCTAATCTAAGGCTGTTCAGTTCACTCTCTCTGATATAAAATACGATGTTATCATAATTACACGTGTTCTTGCATGTTTGTTGATCAACTGACAACATAAATAAACAACAACGTTTCTTTTTTATCTCTTTCATCTTCTTGAAAAGACACAATCCAAGATGGTAACTTCATAAACTCATGCTTAGCTTGGCGCTACATACTCAAAAGCTTTGCTGACAACACTACAGGTAATGGGTAGAGGTAGCGCCCGTAGTATTAGTCTAACTTATGGTGTATTTTCTGGTGCACCAAGTGTTTGCCACTTTTACTAGCCTTGGTCCTTGCATTCCTCGCAGGAACTCTTGCCAAATTTGAATCTTTCCTGGAATCGTTTGAAGTATTCGAAGCGAGAAGGGCACAAATGGCGACATCGCAATCGTGATCAACTTTAAAAACTTTGATGCAGAGTTGAAAATTGCCCTGAAAGAACGTCAATCCATGTCTCCAGCAGCTGTGGCAGCAATGGTTTCATCCGCCAACCAAAGGATCAAGAAAGATGTACTTTATCGTTTACAAACATTCTACAATGGTCGTTGATTTGATATCATTAAAAAGGAAGACCATCATTGATAAAATTCTTGAGATAAAAGGACGCCTTTTTTTAGTTTAGTTTTGTTTCATAGCCTTTCTTTGTTAAGACACTTGCCAAAACATTTTGCAGAATAAGAAGCAATGCCTTTGAAATCACTTATTTCTAAACAATAAAAGTCAGCCACTCCAAGTTTTAAAGTCCAGAAAGGAGGGCAAAACACTAAGCGTACGTCATCACAGCCGTCACAAAAGCGGTCCGATCTGTGCCTAGCAAAATTTACTGCCCTATTTTTTGTCTATTTTGAAAAGGTTTGAGCAACTTTAGCAAAAACAAAAGATACGCGCTTACATTAATCTACTTTTGGTGCTCGCGTCGCTCTCCTATTTCAACCCTTATGTACTATGCGCAAGTCTATGACTCATCTAAAAGATGTTTCTAGGCTTATTAGTACACCTGAACACAATAATGGAACCTGTCGTCGACGAAATTCACATCTACAGACACTGTTACAAGCATTTCAGCCACGACCAAAGGAATTATTCACTTTACCTAAATTTTGTACTTCATGCAGACGAAGATCAGCCTTGATTAGAATGTATAGAACCTTATCCACCCCTATAGACACCATTGAACCTCGAAAGCCACTGCAGCCACTCATGCGATTTTCTAAATCGCTAAGTATATTTAATTTGACAGATCGGATCACTCTATCTGATCTTGATCTCACTATTCGTACTCGACATGCTGATAAAGCCTGGTCTTTATTTATTACCCTATCTCGGCGAGGAGACATCATACCCTTGACAATGTGCTGCTCACTCTATGCATTACTCGCATTTGCAAAGTCAATGGTTAGTCGGGGACCCATCATAGATTTACGACAGCGACAAATGGATCAATTGTTAGATTATGTACAGAAACATCATCATCACACGCCAGAGCTATTCTTACCATCTGTAGAACCCATACCCATACCTATTCGTAAACAGATTGCAAAGTACATTCAACTAGAGGAAACCGAGAAAGCCTGGGCTTTGTTCTTTAAAACGGTCCAAGAAGGGAAAGAACGACTATCGAGAAATCTGTGTATAAAACTGATTATGCTGATGCTAAAGGACAAATCACTGTACAAAAACCAAAGAAAGTTTAGAATTAATTTAATCGCCTCACACGCATCTTGTAAAAATGAGCTAGAAGATCGACACCTATTACCATCTGACATGTTACGGATAGCCAATATTTGTTATCGATATTATCGATACAGATATTCTGCTGCACATCGCCTGATTGACGAATTTGTGGAGAATATTCCAAACATAAAGCAAAAAAATAGAGCAGATGCACTGGAGGAGCTGATATGGAGGATACTGTCAAATCATGATCTATCAAAGGCACAGAATGTACTTGATGTAGTCCGAGAAAAGTATGCAGATAAAGTGGATATTAGTGAAATGGTTTACGTTAATCTGATGAATGCATATGGGCAACAAAAGAAGTTTGATCAAGCCTTGAAGCTATTTGAGCAATTTTTAGAAAGCGATAGACAGCCAAGCGTGAAAGGGTTTAATGCCATACTACACGTTTTTGCATCTCAAGGCGAAGCCAGTCGTGCATCCTATGTCTACAGCGCTATGCTCAAGCTCAATGTTGAACCTGATAGTGCTACATATACGGAAATGATCCGAGCCCATGCACATACAACTGATCACAGCAAGTGCACATTCTTTTACAACAAGATGCTTCAGCGTCATCTAACACCTAATGTCTATACATACAGCGCTCTTATGCACGCCTCAACAAAGCGACATGATATCCATGGCGTTCTTCGCTGGTTTCAGATCATGCTCTATAATGGTGTTGAACCTAATGAAGTCAGCCTTTCACTTGTACTAAAATCGTTGTCACAGCAACCCAACCAAAATATACCGGACGCGATGCACTGGATTACACGAGAGGCTACCATGGTAGGCATCAAGCCAGACGCGACGCTATATACCATTTTGTTGAAGATGCATGCAAAGCGATTGGGTTTAGAAAGTGCGCTCAAGATACACAAAGAAATGATTGCCAACTCGATTGAACCTAATACGTATACGTATACCACATTAATTGATGCATGCGCAGACAATGATATGCCAGAGACAGCACAACAGATTTTTGAGCTAATGAAGAATAGTGAGCGACATAAACCCAATACAGCCACTTATACAGCACTCATTACTGCCTGGGCAAGAAGTAGTAAGCTACAGCAGGCAAATGCAATCATCTTGGACTTTTTGAAGGCTTGTAAATCTGATAAATCAGGTCATTTGTGGATAGATGAAAAGATAAAAGAACGATTAAGCTGGTGTGCTTTTTGTTTATAATAAATTGTAATTTTACATAATTCACTGCTAATGTCTCTCAAAAGAAGAGCTAAATCATTTAGTTTGCTTTGTTTACTCAAAGCATGGCTTAAATACATAATATTTAAGACTAATGATATAAAAACAAAGACACTGCACATAATAAACAGTATCAGTGTTTTATTTTTTTGTTTTTATATTTTTTTTCATTAATACTTGATAAGTTGGCCTAATAATTAATCGATTACTGTTCATCAGAAAATCCATTTGATGCGTCACTTGCACAATGGCTCATAATTAAAAAAAAAACACTTGAATGGCTTCTACAAGATTTATTCATAAAGAGGCGTTTATTGATACAAACACAAGCAACAGAAAGCAGTTTATAGCTTTGATTTATAAATGTCTACACCCCAGAGCGAAGATGGATCAACCAGCCGTTCGGCAGTCTTGGTCGCAACGAGTTCCTCAAGTGCTTGAAAGTCTTTTGTGTCCAGCTTAACAGCTTGTAAGTTGGAAACAATGCGAGAAGGAGTAACTGATTTAGGAATGACAGAGCAGCCACGATGAATTCCCCAGGATAAAAGGATTTGTGCTGGAGTTACTTGGTGCCTTGCAGCAATACTCAACTAGATCAAAGCCAAAAAAAAAAGGCATGTGGGCATACAAATCAAACAAAAAAAAAACTATTCCCCTTACCACGACAGGTTCCTGCATAACTGGTGAATTCGTACTGCCTAATGGTGAGTAAGCTGTTACTATAAACAAAGGCTGTCAGTTTGTGATATATATTTTTTGTAGAAAAGTCTGTATTAACTTACCATGAACATTATACTTTTGGCAAAACTCCAGTAAGTCAGGCTGAGCTAAATAAGGATGCATTTCTACCTATACAAAAAGGAAACTTAACGCGCTGTGCTTTTTGAACAACACGTTTCTATTATATACTTGATTAACAGCTGGAATAATTTTGCAGTTCTTCAAGAGACGATCAAGGTTTGGAATATTGAAATTGCTTACACCAATAGCACGTGTCTTGCCAGAAGCTACTAATTTTTCCATTGCCTATGAAATAGTCAGTCAGCAACATGTTACAAAAAAACTAGCAATGAAAACTTACAGCATAAGTTTGAACAAAATCAACGGTTTTGTCAAGAGCAACATTTCCCTTGTCATCCTTTGGAATAGCGTATTTGGAAGGTTGAAAGGCAATTGGCCTATGATCAAGGAAAAGTTATATTTTATATACATTTCTCTACTCAATTTCTTACCAATGCATAAGGTATAAATCAAGATAGTCAAGTTGTAAATTGGCAAGGGATTGGTTAATAGCTTGTTCTACAAGTTCAGGTCGGTGGTTTGTATTCCAGCTAAATGAATTATTTATACAACTATTATTTGCTCGATTCGTGTGCAGAGCTTACAGTTTTGTAGTAATAAAGAGCTGTTCACGCGGAATACCACTATCCTTGATAGCCTGTCCTATTTCCTTCTCATTTCGATCTTTTTATATAAAGAGTAAGTTTCATGACAAAAGAATAATATAAACCTTACAGACAGCAGCAGTATCGATATGTCTGTATCTATAAAAGATGTGATTAAAATGAGTGATATTAAAAATTACATAATTATTTATTACCCTGCTTTTAGAGCAGCAAGAACAGCTTGATACACTTGTTGAGGCTTTGATTGCCATGTACCAAGACCAATAGCCGGGATATCAAGACCATTGTTTCTATAAATCAAGATTATTACTTAATCACTCGTTTTTATATTTTTACAATTTGAATGATTGAATAGCAGACATTGTGTAAGCAAAAGAAAAAAAGGGGGCAATAAAAAAAGGTACAATAAAATAGTCTGGGAATAAAAATAAAAAAGCTTATAAATGAAGGGTTTTTGGGCGTATTTGATAATCGTATAATCGAATCTGTGGCAACAAGAAAATAATTTTGATATTCAATCGAGTATATCTCCTTTTTTCCTTCAATCCTATCAACTTGCCATCCAAATTATTCTCTTTTCGTCTGTTGAAATGACTCTGTAAATTGTTAAATATAACTTACACTGCTAGGCCATCTTGATGTGTCTGCATATTATAAAGCAGAGCAATCATATGATTTATTAAGCATGAAGTATTTAAAAAGACGAAGCAATTTACTGCAAGTTTCAATTAAAATAAAACATATTGTATGATTACATATTAGTTTCAAAGCTTGATTTTCAAAGAGAAAAAAAAAAGGAGAGGAGCGACTTTTTTCCCGCCACAAAAAGAGAAAAGAGAATAGAGAGAAATCATAAAAAAAAGAGGGGCAATGATGATACGTGTGCCACGCGTAGATTACATTCTGTCAGTGAAATAAGGGGATGCATCTTGACCCAAATAAGTAATCATTTTTAAGCTTAAAAACGTGCAGGAATCCAAAAGATGCCGTAACACACATCTTTTTTTCTTATTCATTCCTTCTTTCTCTCTTATTTTTTTTTTTAAACCTAGATTGTTATATGATTTTTCATATAACAAACAAAAAAAGGGCTAATTATTGATTTATATAAATAATACGCAATATCTTTTATTTCTCTCTCTTTTTTTTTTTCTACTTTCCTTTAAATAATGAGTTCACCTTCCCCTACCCATTCCTTATCCTCACCAACAACATCTAATCATCATGAACAAGTATTACCAACACCTTCATCATCAACTACTACTGGACAATCTATACCTAAAAACAATAAGCAACAAACACTAAGACAAGAATTAGAACAACAATTAACTGAAAAGAAAAAACAATTAGAAGAGTCAAGCAGCGGCATAGGCAAAAATGTATTGGCTCGTCAAATAAGTCAGCTTGAAGAAAGACTAAAAGAAATGGAAACCCAAAAATATGAAGACGAAACAGTCATCTCAAACGAAAGACTTCGAAACCTTGAAAGAGACTTGGCTGCTTATAGAAAACCACAGGGCTTACGTAATAAAAAAGAGGTTAGACATCCCCTTCATACTCTCCTTTACATGGTAGTTTAAACATTTTATCTCCTTATAGTTACTCAACCAGAGGTCACCTATGACCACTGGATTAGACCCTTTACCTAGCCCTACAGCATCTTCTCTTCTCCCACCTCATCATGATTCAACCTCCCTTCTTCCTCTTCCTCCTCCTCCAACTGGATCTACACCAACCAAACGACGATCTAAAGTACCCAATACAGATCGTAGAAATACAGATATCGAATTTGCTACCGAGATCGGTCAAGGTCTATTGTTGGAAGTCAGAAAGATGCAAGCTCTGTTACAGGAAAAGGAAGAGAAACTTCGAACCTTGGAAAATCAAAAGGCTGACTTGGAAAGAGCTGCAGAAGCAATGGCCAAACAAATGCGTCAGCGAGAAGAAAATGAAGGTAAGAACATGACATCCTTCCTAATTTATTCATATATACGCTGATGCGTCTCTTTTCATCTAGAAAAACTAAAAGAGGAAACATGGAACTTGGAATTGGCTAAACAAGAGCTGACCATCAGCGTGACAGAGCTGCAGCAGAATCTAAATAAAGCCAATGTGGAACAAAACAAACTGGCCAAACAGGTCAATGAACTTAGAGCAGAGATTGAGCAGCTACGAGACCGAGAGGAGAAGCTGAATCAAACGATTGAAACGATGAAAAACCGTCATGAACAGGATATGTCTGCTATACGTCGACATGCCGCTGCACTTCAACGAGAAAAATCAGATCAAACAAAGCAGATTGAAACACTTGCATCTGAATTAGCCATCGCAAAGGCTCAATCCCGTATCGCTAAGCATGTCATTTCTGAAGCTGAACCCAGTACACGTTCCGAACAGTCGGATGATCAAAACCTGTCTACACCCACAGTCAAGAATGACACATCGCCTGCTTCATCTCCACCACCTTCACCTAAACAGCTGCCAACATCACGTAGCCAAGCGATGGAAGTAGAGACACTGAAAACCTCTTTGGCCCACGCTCATCGTATGGTCTCCAACTTGCGTTCGAACCTTCATAAGGAAAAGACAGAAAAATTCGAACTCAAAAAACTCCTGGCTGAGTCCCAGGAGACGATCGAACAGTTACAAAATGATCCACGTCTTTGGGTAGATGCCAGGCCCGTGCGTTCTTCTTCTTCTCATCTGGGTTCAAAAGATGATGGCAGACGCCCTCATAAAGCATCTACTTCTTCTACAAAGAGACGAGGCAGAAAGACAGGTGACTCAGCCTCAAGACGTGGAAAGTTCAAGAATGCCTCTTCTCGTCATGCAGATAACGATTCTGTCTACTCCTACTCTTCCATGTCAGACAACAGCGGAGATGATAGTGCAAGTGAAAGCGATGCTCCTGTTTCTCCCTTTGACAATGCACCCTCTGTGGGATTCACCACGCTGTCCTCAGAGTTGTCCCAAAGTCAAATGACCCAGAAACCAGTCGCTATAGATGCAGAAGTGAATACAGATCCTGTTCATATCGAATCAGTACATCCTTCTTTGGATGATAAGCTTGACAAATTGTCATCAGAGACAAGTCCTATCAAGCAACTCGCAGGTGGTTTAGTCGCTGGTGCAGCTGTTGCCGTGGGATCCCTGCTGCCAGCCAAATCAGGTGTTGAAATTTCCATCCAAACGGAACCCAAGCCCGAAGGCGTCGACTGTCTTGTACAAACACATGCTGTTCCCACTGCATCCTTGTCGACACAAACAGATGACTCATCTTCATTAGATGAACCAAAGGTAGCAGTGGATGCCTCTATTCAGACAGAGGTTGAGCCCAAGGCTATAGGTGTCGAAATGTCTATACAAACAGATGATGTCAGCACTTCCAAGTCAGCAATTGAAACCTCGGTACAGACAGAAGAAGAAAAGCCAAAAGGAATTGAAGAGTCTGTCCAGACGATGCCTACGCCCACCGCATCGCTTTCTACTCAGACAGAGGATAGCCAAGTGGTAGAAGTGTCCACACAGACTGAGATCGAAGCACGTGAGATGCTTACACAGACAGAAGCCAAAGATTCAGTAGATTCTTCTGTACAGCACCATGTTGAAAGCACTGATGCTGAAACCCAGACAGGCACGGTTGAAACCAAAGATGCGCAAGTGCAGCATGATACAGACATGCTTCAAAGACCACCTATCTTACCTTTGCCTCTGTCTGCTTCTCCATCAACTTACCGTCCATTCTCTGACGATGAAGACAATGATTCATTCTATTACGATGCTGCTTCAGATATTGCTCAGTCAAAGCCTTCGAGCAGAAATACATTGTCAAGCCTTGCCGCTTTGAATGAGCCTGGATCTCGCCATAATCTCAAGATGACAGAAGATTCTATTCACAAGAAACCATTGACACCACACATATCGCGTGCAGACTCAATGTTTGGCTCCAAACCTACATCCATTCATGCTCTAATGGAAGCAAAGCCTACTGAAAATGAAACAAAATTTCATGATAAGGATGAAGCAGAAAACAAATTGTTTACCAAGGAAGAAGCGGATGCAATGATCGCTGCTGCTGTTGCTGCTGCACTATCCAAAGCCAATGACGACAAGAACGCCTCTCGTAGAGACTCTGCTCTTGTTAGCTCAGCCGAGAAACCAGATGATATAGAAGAACAAGAAGAAGACGATAATGGCTTTGGTAATGTTGCTATTCAAGTTCCTAGAGAGGTTATTGCTACATCTATTCAAACTGTCGAAAAGGAACGTGCTCGTCCAGATTTGGCTGATGGTCCTTCTATTGTGTTTGATCAGGAGCCTGAGGAGCAAATGTGGAGTGAAAACAATATCCCTCAACGTCCTTCTAATCCTCCACCAGCAGCGTTATTGAACAGAGCCGTATCACCTAATAGATTAAGCAAGGGCAAGATGCCCGAAACAGAAGGTGAACCTCAACAGTCTTTACATAGAGGCACTGCTAGCATGTCTAGTTTATCTACTGCCAATACCAATGAACAGCTACACTCTATTGCCTCATCGCACTTTGACAATCGCAGTACGAACGCAACAGATCCATTGATGATCAGCTTGATCACAAAGACCATGATTGGTGACTGGCTATGGAAGTACACGAGAAATGCTATGGGCGGTGGTATCTCAGAAAAGAGACATCAACGCTACTTTTGGATTCATCCCTATACCCGTACACTTTATTGGTCCAATAAGGCGCCTGGAGTCGACGGTACTGAAACCAAAGCAAAGAGTGGTAAGTGAAATAACGAGCATAAAAGGGGATGATAAAGCTGATCTTTTTGTGTGATAGCACTTATTGAAAATATTACGGTCGTACCTGATTATTCCACAACTCCTAGCGGATTGCCTAATGTCAGTTTGCTGATTCAGACAAGCCATCGTCAGCTCAAGCTGACTGCTCCTACTCTTGAAAAGCACGATACCTGGTTTGAGGTAATGCATCTTTTATTATACAAAACATTATAATAACTCCTGCATGTAGTCTATATCACACCTGCTTGTACGTAACAACGATTTAAGCTCTGGATCAGTTGGGGATAATAGACCTAATAACACCAACAATGTCAAATCTGTATCAAGTGGTGCAAGTGGTTCATTATTAGAAAGACCTAGCTTCCGTCGATTACATGACATGTTTTATCAACCCTCAACGAGTACAGCTACTGCAACATACGGAACAGAGAATACAGCCAATGATGACTATGAAGACGAACCACTGGAAGATGTTCGTATGTGTTGTAATGGTAAACATCATGTCTCCAAATTGGAACGAGAGCATAACCATCGTCAATACCGTAAACGCACAAGTCGTATACCAAATCAACAACATTAATTTATCCATTCAAACAATAATCATTCCTTTCTTTTATTACTAGACTTTGCAAACACACACACACCTTTAATAGCAACTGTAATGAGTATTATTATTCAAAAGAAACCTTCCCCTTCTTTGCAAAATAAAAACCCATTTTATTTTTTAAGCTTCAGTGTATTTTGAGGTATCAACTCCGTGGTTGTTGTGATTAGCAAAGTTGAACCATGGGATGGCACCTATTGATAATATAATGAATATACTTATTCTTTTTTGTATTTCCGTAATATTTACCAAACTTCAGTTGTGAATATCTGGAGGTTCTGGCAGAGGTATCCTGAATGTGTTCAGGCATGTAGCTATCTCCATACAATGCTTTTCCTTCCTTTAAGCGTTGAGCCATTTCAGCTTTATCCTTGGCAATTTCAGCAGCATTTTCAGTCCAACCCCAGAAACGGACTAATGTATAGATTGTTATTAAACATGGTATTAATGCGTCTACTCTAACTTACAGCTACTGCATTGGTAAGCATACAAAAAGCCACCGACAGCACCGAATACGGTAGCAAGACGAAGAGGCATGCGCAAGCTACGAGCTGATCCAACAGGGTTCATTTTCTCCATTCCTAATAACAAGGCAGGGGCAGCAGCAGTACCAGCTGCCCATGCAGCATAATCTGAAGGTCTAAAGTAGCTAACAACACGAGAGAAGTGAGGATCTGTATCGATAACAGGATAAGGCTGGTTGAATTCTTTGACTGGCATATTAGACTGTTTTATAAATATGTGTGTGTGATTAAAGTTGAATTGTATATATAATAAAGTTGAAATTATAATAAACTGATTAGCTATTCTTCTTCTTTTTCTAGGCCCTTTTTTTGTTTATGTTCAATATTTGACCAATGTCAAATCACTTACAGGTTTATTAGTTCAGCAACCACACTGAAAAAAAGTTCTTTTTTTATTGATATTTCTTGTTTTTGAAACTCATAAAGAGCAAGGCTCCAAAAATGGAAATGTGACGTCGCCTTTAATTTAAAATGCAGATCAAGAGCTTTAAAGTTACTAAGATTTTAGCAGCCATATCCGATATTGAAAAGTATTTGTGAATACTCTCGAAGTAAAGATTAATGAATTAAATGCAATAAGCTTTTTTTTTCAAAGTGTTTATTATACCAATTGTAAACGAAGGGAAAAAAATCATTGCTGTCTTGGTGGAAGCGTATGAGAAGATTCTCCAATGTCATACGTTGCAGTAGCTGCTTCTTTCAAAGTGTTTACCAATAAAGAACATTTCATTTAGCCTGGCTTTGCTGCGCTAACAAAGCAGGCTTTTCTTTCCATAACTTGTCTATTATCTGGCAATACTTTTCTCCTTCGTTAATAAACTCACTAAAGTGCAGGTTTCGCTCGTCCATGTCACTAGTGCTTTGGATGTTCCCAATCGCATTAGACAAGGCAACACTCTCATCTGTAATAGGAGCTACATACAGCCTTGAACGCTCTGTAAAAGTTATTTGAAATAAATAACTGACAAAGAAAATATGTCTACAAAGCTTGAAGGGATCATGCATGAGCAACGATAGAGATAGCCGTTTCAAACTTGTCATAATATAATCTGTTTCAGTGTAGATCCTTTACACATGATATATTGTCTTTAATTTTCTTTAGCGTACCACAAGCAATGTCATAATCAAGGATATCAGAAGTCTTCTTCTTTTGTTCTTCTACAGCCAATTTTACAACTTGAAATCCGAGTTTGCATTTAATGGCTTCTTGGTAGTAATCTACTGCAACAACTTGCGATAGAATATCTACGGTCAATGCGAAGTAAACGAGAAACATAAAAGGTCTTCAATCTATTATGGTTATAATTCAATGAGAATGTTTGTGTGATAAGTTGAAAATAAACGCCAGGCTTTGCACCATAGTTGTTTTTTGTGGAACCACAACGTGATGGTAGTACTGCGTATTTTGAAGAATAATGAAATTATTTGAGAACAATGGAATTGAATTTCTTTATCAGGATGTACAAACACTATTTTGTTGTAAATAAATACGGTTTCTTTCCACTTTTTTTCTTTCTTTCTTTCTCTATGTTTATAATAACATAGAACTACTGAAGACGCCGCGTAAAAACGTCCAAAAGCCTTGATTTCATAGTAGGCGGCTTTATCATTCATCTTCTAAATGAATGTTAACTTGTGTATATAATAGATAGGCCACGTTCAAAAAAAGAACAGGATAGCTATTATGATGGATCAAAGTTGATTAGAACTCTTACTATTGTAACATCTGGCAAAAGGCAACAACAGAGTAACGATCAGGATCATCGTAAGCGATCAAGAAGTAGTTGTATAATCCAACATCTTAGTTCCTGTCCGGTTCTATTCTTCTCCTCCTTCCTCCGCTGAACAATACATCTCATTACACTATAATTGTTCTATGTTTATTATAATAATCCTTAAGTGTCCGCAACAGCTGCACCACCCGCTTGTTTTTGATTTTTAGCCATTGCTGCCATCAGTTTGTCAATCTCGCTCCAGCTTTGAGCTCGTCCCTGCCATCGACCCTTTCCGCCTCCTTTGACACCGCTCAAGGTGGAAGTGATTATCTTGCCTGTCTTTTGTACTAGATCACTATCGCTTCCTGTAACAATGATAGGTCCACCCTGTTTCTTATCTCCTGCTGCCAGGATGACAACCTTTTGATCATGCTCGTCTATTAGTTTTCTATCTCTGATGATATTGGCAACCATGCTCAAAAAGTCCATGTCGCCTTCTTCTTTGTACACTATAGCATATTGGTTCTTTTTCAAGGCCTCGCTCACTTCATCAGCTGTATATTTAGCCAATGATTCCAATAATCGCTTAGCCCTCTTCATATGATCTCGACTTTGCTGTTGTATCTTTTGTACATTTTCGATAAAGCTTTCTTGTGGTCCTGACAGGAGATTGGTTAGACGACGAGTGATGGCATAGCTAGCATCCAAAAAGTCAAGGACACGTTGTCCGAACAGAAAGAAGATGCGCACATTTCCTCCTCTAACATTTTCGGTGTGAAGGAGCTTCATTGATTGAAGTTGACCAAGACGAGAGACATGAGTGCCGCAGCAAGGATTTAAGTCAAGACCCTTGATTTCAATTGTGCGAATAACACCACCACCTGTGTAATCATCTGGTAAACTATCAGGTTTGTTGTCTTCATCATGCTCTTGCACATGGGTTATCACTGGCACATCCTCAAGAATGAGTCGATTGACTGCCTTTTCGACAGAGTTGAGTAGCTCGGGGGTTATCTTTACTGCTTGCTTGCCTGCAGGAACCTCGACGTAGCTGTATTTCTTACCAAGGTTCCAACACAGTGTATCGAGATTATACGGTTCTCTTTCGAGAACTGCACTTAATAAATGCTGTCCACTGTGCTGTTGGACATGATCCCAACGAAGGCCCCAATCAACTTTAACATTAACCGTTTTTCCTACCTCCACTGGTACCTTGGTCAAATGAACATGAGCAAGTCCTCGACGTTCAACTTGAAATACTTGAACGCTGTCTATGAAACCGGTATCTGAAGGTTGTCCACCGCCTTCGGGGAACAAGACTTGAAAAAATAATGTTGGCTAATGAAAAACTTCTGTATTCAGTGAGATCTACCTGTGTCCTGTAGCTTAATCTCATAAAATCCATGCTTATTAGGTTTATCTGTGCATTCGATACACACCGTTGACAGTTCCTGAGCAAAAGTATTCCTTTGACAGGCAATGAGTCCAACAGGAATCTGAGCTGATGAGTGTTTATTGTTGTCTGACATTACAAATAAAAGGGAAAAAAAGCGAAAGAGGAAAAGACTATCTTGACTTCTTTGTATTACCACTACTGCCAGATTGATAACGATATTGTCTCTTCTGATAAGCAGCATTTGGCTTGGGGAATGGTTGTTCTTGACCTTGAAGAGAACCGGATGAGTAGAATATCTTGGGTTGATAGGCCTCTTCTTCTGCCATGACATGCGAATTTCTAAATTTTTGGATTAATGCTTCTTTGCCTTGTACAGCCGCATAAGATATAGAAAGTCTCTTTTCAGAATTAAACATGGTCCTATCTTACGTAATCGTTTAGTTTGCGCCTTTCTCTCTCTTCTTCTCCTGTCATTGATGTGAATATAAATTACCATCTTTTGCCCATTTTTTGTTCTGCCAATGTTATCACAGATCTACAAGAATAAAAGCATAAGTCTACATGTGCATGTTTGAGGTTACATACTTGGGATCTATAAAGTTGATAAACGCGTATCCAACATTACAATGATTTCTAAAATCCATGCGTAAATACAAGAAATCATAGGTGTTTTTGTGTGTCTCATCCAACATATCCTTTAGCATTTTCTAATAAAAATCTCTTTTAGTCATATCTTTATATGAAATGACATACTATAATTACCTGGGTATACTTGTTTGGGATATTTCTAATCATAAATGTCGTTCTCTTATCCTGACCTGTACACACAAAAGAACTATAAAGGAGGGCTTTTATCAAAAGTGCACTGTCTTTACCTGATCTAATTTTCTCAATGTCTATTTCTTTGGCGCAGAGTTTTGACGAAGATTCTCTTGAGCGGACTTCATGTTCTCCATATTCTTCGCATTTTGATATAGATAATAGCAAAGTCTCTGTCTCTAATGATTCCGTGGTATGTTTGCTATGCACCAAGTTACTATTGTCTGTTGACGTAGAAGCAGCTGAAAATAAACTGAATTCACTATTTCTCTTTGGTAATTTTTGGGTGACTTTTGGTTGTCCTTTAGTGTCTTCATAAAGAGTTTTTGCAACAATATTGGACCATGTAACTACAGAAGAGTTTGGCTTGATAGGTGGACTGATAGCAAACCAGCGACAATCACAAACAAACTCTTTGGCTATGCTTTCATAAACATGGAACGTTATTTTCTAAAAATAATAATCAGAGCCAAGGTTCCTTTTCTTGTTGCATTGAATAACTTACGTCATATTCATTCATATTTATTCTATTATATAGCTTCAAGATAGAGCGTTGATCGTGATACTCAAGCGCGACAATACGACAATATGGATTCAACTTCATTTCTGATATTGCATGAACAGATCCAAAGTACGACAAGAACTCCTATAAAGAGAGAAATACATTAAGTTTGTATGTACTATTTAGCCTTTTTTTTTTCCTTTACTATAGCATCGAAATCATCAAGTCTATCTGGAATTGTGCTGCGCATGGTAATAAATATAGTTTCGTTCATGCTTTCGCCTATGAAACAGGGCTTTATATAAAGTAATTTATAGCCAGAATATGTGGATTGCATTTCTGTTTTAGCTCTTTTGGCGCCTTTCAGATCAAAAAACGAGACTATCGTAATTCCAAATGATATATAAGGGTACACCATTTTTATATCGCCATATGACTAAGATATGCGTTAATTTCATTTGACAGGAGTATGTAGACTCAAACCTTTAAGGTATCGAAAAGTTCCTGATCCAACACTAGGCGTTCAGGGGAGTATATGCCTACGTGTCTCTGCGGTTCATCGCTTTGCACTAAATTGATATCAACATCTGCACAAAGTGAATGGATGTTCTTTTTCTTACCTGCTGAAAGGGATGAGTACGGCGGTAACTTCCATACGGGACATATTGACATTTGCTAGATAACAAAAGTAGATAAAAAGAAAAAGAAAGAGAAATAAAAAAGGTTGTCTAAAAGAGGGCTCTTTTCTTTTATTTACTTCAACTGGTTCTGTAACCACAAATCAAAACTTCCATCGTTTGTATACATGGTTCCTAATGGATGCGATAAAGGTAAGAAAAACCCACCTAGATTATCATAGTCTAGCTGGCGATCATCTGAAGTAGGCGCCGTGTACTTGGCTAAATCATTTGTCTGTCCTTCTTCTTCATGCTGTGATTCACTTTCAGTGGAGGCATGACTGGTCGTTGTTGGATCAAATAGAGGCGTCGTCGCCGATAGAGTGGTTTCAACAGAAGATGATGGAAAAGGGACTTGTTTTTCTTTTTGTGAACTATTAAATGCTACTTGCTGAAGAAGATGTAGATTATAAATCATAAAGTAGAATCTTTCAGTTATCCCCCAGTATGTTTTGCATTCCTAAAGAAGGACTTGTTAGACTATTTTAAGGAGGCTTTTCTGTGTCTCTACATTTAAATAATAAAGATAGTCTTCTATATTTGAACTGTCTAATTGACCACCTATAAAGGATCGATCGCTCACAATGACAGTACCTGTCACATAGATCAGGTAGCCAATATAGCATGGTAAAAGGTCTGCTTTACAACGAATAGTTTTCAAGAGCAAACTCACGCGATTTGCCGCCTCAATGCATTTTCCTGCGCTTTGGTGAACTGCCTCAATGACTCCTTGATCTGGCTCTTTCTTAATTGAATTGATCATTACTAAAGCGGGTCGATTTAGTAAGATAATAGTAGCATAGTGAATAAGGTGCGTCTATATCAACAATGAATTTGATAATAAATCCTTAAAATAAAATACATCATTTATACCACAAAATATTGAGTCAGCTTGATAGGACTCATTTCTTTAAACTTTTCTGCATTGGCAGGGGTGTCTCTTAGGTTGAAAGGTAGGTCACTTGGCCACGCGTCAAGAGTTTTATCGTGTCTATAGTAGTCTGATCCTTGTCTATAGTAACAGAGGGTATCCTGTGAGTGAAGTTGCCTGTTGATGGTACGTACGACCATTCCTAATATTGCGTTTGCTTTTGAAATAAATGATTCTATTCCTATCTGTTCACGCTTTGCTTGGTTTTCAGGTAATCTAGGGTCCAGTGGCCAGACTTGGATATTTTCGGCCTTTTGAGTGAACGGATCACGAATGACGTGATAATGAATAAGCCTGCTACCGTCAAATGTCTCTTGATAAAAATCATCGCTGGTTTCTATTATGTCAAGATCTGTGGGTAGTAACAAGTTGTAATCTTCTATATAGAGTGACATGGGCGTTCCTGTACATGCACCACCATAAGTATCCATCATACTAGTCATCCAAAATGCTCTTCGTTCATATTCATATGTCGTCCATTGATCCACACTAATAATTGTACCAGGACTTTCATCAAATAGTTTTTCCTTGTATAATCCCAATTCGCATACCATACGTACAGCTATAGTAGAATATAGCCAAGCCTTGTATCCATTAAAATGACTTAGCTGATAAAGTGACAAGATAATGAGACCTTGTACATAACTAAAATCTACTTTGTCCAAGACGCTTGACATCATTTCAATTGCAGTTTTAGCAAATGTATCGCTTTTATGTCTGATATCTTGTCTTGGAGAAAATCTAATCATTTGCATTAACAACGGAGTTTATAATTCTTGTCTACATATTTTCACCTTGCAACTGTAGATAAAAGAGAGTACAACAAGAACCTGTCATATGTATTGTTCTTTATTGACTCTTTCATTCTTTTGATATCAATGCACAACGGATAGATGCCAAACAGATCAACGTAAAGATAAAAAATATGATCAATAATCTCTTTACTAGGCAACTGATCTCTTTTTTCTTCTTCTGGTGGACAGGTGACCAGTTGTTCCATTTTCTCCAGTCGCTTTTCTAGCATATTGATGTGATCTTTTTTGGATATTTTTCTCTGTCTATCCTTCACTGGCGAATAAGAACATGTTTGGCGTAGTCTAGTACATTTGTCACAACTTGGACGATGTCCATTGCATTTTGTCTTTTTTATAAATTAGTTTCTGCTACGGAATTGCTCCTCTTTTTTTTTCTTTCTTTATACTTTTTTACGTCTACAATTATCACAAGCTACAAGCCTTGCTCTTAATGTCGTAGGTGAATGGCTGTCTTGGATTATGTTGAAATCAGCCATAAAAATGAATTTAAAAAAAAGGGAAACCTTGCAATCTACTTGTTTCTCTATTTTTTTTTTTTATTAAGCATCAAAAATTTCTGTGGTTAGAAGTTCAACTAATTGATAAAAGAAACTCGTTGCTGCGCACGTTAAAGCAAATAAAAGGTTTAATATGTACAGTTTATTTATTTTTCTACAAGAAAGCCCTTTTCCAAGTCATCAAGACAAACTTCACTCTTTGTACTTTCTTGATACTGAACTCGCTCATGAAGTTCAACCAATGATTCATCTGTTAATGACTTTTGGCCAACTACAATTGTAAAAGGATAACCAATTAATTCAGCATCCTTCATTTTGGCACCAAAACCTGATCGACGATCATCAATTACGATATCACCCTTGAAAGTCTTGTTCAGCTTATCATAAACTTTTTCTGCCATTTCCTTAAACTCAGCCTTTCGATCATCAGTTGGTATAATGCACACCTTGTATGGAGCTAAGCTTCTTGGCCAAACAACACCTCTCTTATCATAACATGCTTCAGCTACAGCAGCTAATAATCTAGTAATACCGATGCCATAGCATCCCATTTCAGCAAAAACTTTCTCACCATTAGGTTTACGGTAACCACAGTCAAGAGCACTGGAATATTTTGTGCCCAAGTAAAACGTGTGACCACACTCGATTGCCTTGACGCTCGAAAGTTCCTTGTCACAGGAGGTACAATGATCTCCTTCTTTTGCTACTCTAAAATGATCAGCAGGATGTACTGTGATACTGCTTGATAAAGAATTAGTAGCACCACTTGAGATACTGTCATCCAAAAACAAATGAAGTTGAGAAACAAGAGTGTTTGATGGAATTTGCCTTAACATTTCTTCTGATATAGTTTTCATTTCAATGGTTGACACTTGTCCTAGCTGTTGCGTCTTTTTCAAGTGCTTGCTTAACTTTGTCTGCACTTTTAACAGATTGGCAGGTCGCCCAGCTGGTGTTAGCACTGCAGCATATCCTTGAATACCCTCTCTGGTGTCATTAGGTTCGTAAAAAGATACGATTGTAGCATCAATAGAAGTCTGGTTAAATCCTACACTGCTCTTGAACAATGCTGTTACTGCGTTCTCTTTTGTCTCGTTGGATCGTTGGTTGGTAGTAGCTAGTTTTCCAACAGCAAGTTCTTCATTCGCAGTATAACCGCAGCCTGAACACGTTAATAGCGTGTCTTCACCTACTTGAGAGACTAAATGGTATTCATGGGACTTTGATCCACCGATATTGCCACTATCTGCCTCTGCCTATAATAACCATTAACTTTTGCATAAAGTACAGCATGTCGGTTTCTTACAACAACAAAAGGCACGCCAATCCTTGTAAAAATTCTCTTGTATGCCTCTCTTACTTGCTCATACGTTTCAAAAGCAGCCTCTACACTGTCATCAAAAGAATAGAGATCCTTCATGATGAATTCTCTGCCTCTTAAAAGACCTGCTCTTGGGCGCAATTCATCACGGTATTTTCGGCCAATTTGATATAGTCGAATGGGTAAATGCTTAGGTGATCGTATCTCATGAGCTACAAGACGGGTAATTTCTTCTTCGTGAGTTGGTGCAAGAAGCAAATCGGATTCTTTTCTATCTTTTAAACGAAAGAACTTGTAGGCGTCAATAACTTTTCACTACTTCTTAAAGCGTCTTATACCTCGCCTGCTGCTCCATCCCATCTTCCGGTCTTTTTCCAGTCGTCAGGATTCAGTAAAATAGGTAAAGACAACTTTTGACTGCCAATCGATCGCATCTCTTCATCGACGATCTGCTCAATTTTTTCAATTACTCGAAGTCCTAGCGGCAGTAAAGAATATATTCCTGCTCCACTTTGTCGAATCATTCCTGATTGTAGTAAAAGAGCATGACTTTGTAAACTGTCAGTGGTTGCCTTGTCTTTTGTGGAAGGCATAAAGTAGCTTGACAATCTGTTGCGTCCCTAAAAAAACATATCAATAAAGACAGAACAAAAGCGTATTATACTTTTCTTTACATCAAAAGAGAAATGTCTTTTCGTTTGATACTGAGTCCTGACTCTTGAGCTCAAAAGGGCTTGTCTTAACATGAAAAAGTAAGGGGAAGAGAAAAAAGCAATTTCAATTCCCGGGGCGTACCTTGGCTATGCTTTTCATATTCAGTTAAAGATGATATTTATCAATAAAGAGATAATGTAAATTAATCTTTTAATACATGAAGGATATCGTGATATGTCTTCGAGCTCTTTCTTAGGTTAATTGCATTTGACACGGCCGATTTCTCTTCAGCATTCAAATGCCCTTGATAGAATAATAGGCATTGATTTGAGCAAGTTGTTATTGTATAAATGAACTGATGACTAGAACACACTTTTCTGTTAGTTAAGCTTTAACACAACGGCCTATCCTTCCCCTTTTTGTCAATATAGTGCCATAAAATGACACTCCTTTATCATTAGCTGTTGTCTAAATACAGTTTCTATAGCAATAAATGAGGAGCACAAGCTCAAGTAGATGTATTTCGCTCCTTGCAATAAAAAGGAGCATACAGAAAACAAAAGGGGAAACTTTATGCAACCAATGTAAGACAACACAGAGCGATGACAGCATGTTTATTTTTTTTCTCCTTGTTTTATACAAAAGATGTTGAATGCTGATTTATTAAAATAACTTTTACACAAAAATAACAAAACTGTTAGAAACCGTGAATCTTGATAGCTGACTTCTTTGCAATGCCTTCATTAACCAAAAATTCAGCCATCTTCAAGCGTTGATCACCTTGCAATTGGATAATTTCACCATGCTCTTCGTCATCAACGACTGTGCCATTACAGGCAAACTGTTTCTTTACTTCCTTCAACAAACGCTTGCTGTTAATTTCCTTTGGCAAACCTTGAAGGGTTGTCAAGGTCTTTCTACCATTACGTTGTTGAATGCGAAGATCTACATTGTATAAAATGATGAGTTTTCATCGTCACTTTAATGACTGTCCTATGTCTCATGTTCATACTCACGCAAGTAATGGGTAGTGTTTACAACACCACCTTTATCTTCTTCAACATCAGCAAAGGGGTCTATACATCATAGACTTTCATTTTAGTATATATAAACCAGATAATCCTCTTTTTATTTGTTCTATTGCTTGCTATTTTACCGAAAGGCTTATTGAGGTCTTCAAGATCAGACATAAAATGGATGAATGGATGGATGGATGGATTGACTCTTTCCTTTTGCCTTCTCTGTTTCGGTGTGTGTGTGTGTGCGTCTTCTCCCCCTATCTCGGTCTCTCTCTTCGCGCGCCCTTTTCACACCATGTCACACACACATACAAAAGCAGACATCCTGTGAGTGGCTAAATTTCTCAAAAAAATTACTGCATTTTAGAACTCTTTGGAAATACAACATTGTTAAAAGAATGCAGTAGTACTTCTTCAGCTCTAAGAGAGAAAA